TCTTCTGGAATCTACTTGTGAGCCAATCCCTAACCACGGGCAATGGAAGTAGCTTTCTGACACTCCAGTATTCTACTGTCAGTCACATTCAGTCAGAATTGAAACAGAGACCGAGCATTGGGAAATCATGAATGTCAGCACTCCCACCACTATAGGAAGAGCTATGGGAGTGAAGACTGGAAATAGAAACTCAGAGGGCCACAGAGGAAGCTTACCATGCAATTCTCCTGAAGCCTTGACACCTGTGGAAAAGTTGGCAAAGGAGTTGGCAAATTCCTGGAAAGGAATGAATTACAAAGGCCTTGGAGAACTCTTGGCTCAAAGAAGGCAGCACCTTTATGGGTCCACATTCCAGTATCTGGTGGTAGGCATGGACCACAGCTGACTCTCAGAGCCTGGTGTGGGAGGGAGGGCTGAGTGTATAGAGTAATAAGAAAAGAAGACAGAACATACCAGGCTTTCTCCCATCTGTCCAAAACCACCTTGACAGAGTAATGGTTACTGCCTTCCAGATTTGCACAAGCTCCTCTTTGGGCCAACCTTAGAATTACACAGGAAGGAAACCCTAGGGGCCCAGATCTGCTAAACTCTTAGTAAGTATTCCAGCATTGATGCTGATGTCTGCCTACAATAAGTTTGAAAAGTTATTCATGGCCCCAGAGTAGGTTTCAGAAGGGCCCTAGTAGAGCTTGGGAGTGTTGACAAGCCAAGTGCAAGCATCTGGGCTATGGGAAAGGCTGTCTCTTGGGTAGTGAACCAACCAGAGGGAGTCTGGAGAACTCAGGAGGAGTCAGAAGCATGTAGGAGAACTCTCACGTTATAATTCTGGACCCGGACCCGTGGCTCCCAACATTCATCTAATGCTAGATCGTGTATCACTTGGTTCTTATTCGTATTGCTCAATCCACTAAACTTGTCTATGCATCACTTTTGTCTTTTGTGGAGCAAGAACCTTGTCTCCAGAGTTGCTTTCTCCAAGTATTCTGAATGAAGCAAGTGATACATCCACAAACACATGAGCCCTAGTTTTCTTACCACAGCGATTTACCAACTTCCTGGTACCTACTTCAGCGTTGTCTTCAAGGTTTATGTCTAGAAAAGAAAGAATTATAGAAAACAAAAACTAGCTTCTCTTCTGAGATGTGCTGTCCAGTTCCCTGTACAACAGAGTATCTTCTGGGAGAGTAGGTGGCTGGGGTGTGGAGGTGCACACTTGATGGAGACTCTAAACACCCTAAGTCTTCACTCTGCCCTGCATCACCTCTCTCGACTGCCCAAATCCTACTCACTTGCCGTTCATTGGCTCTAAGGATAATCTCCTTCTTCTTGAGTGTTTTCTCTCTTTCTCTTCCTTTTGCTTTTTTCAGTGGTACTAGGGTATTAATCTCAGGGCCTTTCACTAGCTGGGCAAGTGTTCTACAGCTATGAACTATGTCTCTAGCTCCCAGATATTTTCTGGACCCTCTCAGCTGGAGACATTTGTTTTCCCTCCTTAGAGCCCAAGGCTGCCTATTTTTCATGGCAGTTACCTTAGCGCACACATTTGAGCATTTCTAATAGTCTCCTACAAAATTTCACTTCCCCCGAGGCAGGGGGCATGCTTATTAGCTCATGTCACAGAATAGTAATTTTGAACATCTTTCATATTATAGTCCAGACAGAATTCAGTCCATAAATGTCTATTCAATGGAGTAAAAAGAAAGCAAACTGATTGCATGGAACCACATGCTGGTGCCCGACATAACAATAGCTTACAGCAATGCGGTTGCCACCATCAGAGATGGGGAATGCAGAGTCTGTCACCCTCAGTCCCATGAGCTTCTAGTTATGAATTCCATGCTTTCACTTGACCACATTGATATGTTAACTCCAGATATAAAGGCAGTCAGAACAGAAGCCACAGCTCGATCTTGCTACACGCAGAAACAAACGGTCTTTGCAATACTTTCTAATCCAGCCGCAGGATAGAAATGTTTACCAGGGTCACTGAGCCTTCTATTTAGGTTATGGCCGGAGCTGTCACTGAGCCACATTCTCTCTGGGAAACAAATCCATGAACCTCAGATAAGATTTCAAGAGGTTCTTGAGCCAGGGAAATTGTTTGACCAAGTGTCTGTCCTTTGTCACACTCTGTGTTTCACTTGCTGGGTTGGCGGCTTCTCCCTGTGTCAAAGAACTGTTCCAAAAACACAGCTGATATCAGAGGAGCTCCTGTTATCTCTCTGTCCTTCCAGAAGGCACTTCCCGTTCAGGCCTTCAGCTTCCTCTGGAAGAGGGGAGATTAAATCTCTTGCAGGTCCCTCTCAACCGCAGTGTGCTCAGCTTCTATTCTGGGCCACGGGTTGAATTCTTTGGGCCTCAGACTGTCTCTTGTCTGCTTCTAAAAGAGTCTATGACTCAGTTTTCTTGGCTCTCAGCTAGAGCCTGCATCCCTGTTCTCTAGATTGGTGTGGCTCCGTAGGTGAGGACCGCTTAATCAGCATGAGAAGATCCTCAGTCCCAGAATTGCCAGACTGAGGACAATCATTAGAGGCGCTCAGTAGATCCTTCTCAGTGTTCTGTGGCTGATTTTCCACGAACAAGCCTGTGCTTCCCACACTGCAAAAACCAAGAGAGAGTGGGGCTGCCAGGCTGCAGGAAGGTTTCCATGCCTGAGCCCTTATTGACAGACAGTTCATGGGTATAATCAAACGTGTCGACGTGGTTCATGAATGACTTCAACTTCACCAGGTCCCCTAGATCTGTGTGATGAGATGTCTGCTTCCCACTTTGCAGTGCATGTCTTCAGTGTCTGGCGGTGGTGACATTTTAGGACAACAGTCCTCATACAGATCGGCAAGTTAAAACACCTTCTCTATAGACAAAGAAGCATGAGGCAGAGATAGGAGAGTCGGAGCAGGAATAGGAAGCCTGGGTGAGGCCTGTGGTCCACACATTTTACAGCACTCCAAGCCACGGACACCATGCCAGAGCACTGGCTTTTGCAGCTACCTGTTGAGTCTCTTCCCTAGTCCTTCTTCTCGATCTATTAGGTCTCCTTTCTGTTAAACTCCAACAAGAGCACCATAAGTAGGTTCCAATTTAATTTACAGCACGTTAAAAATAAGCAGACAGAAATGTATAGCCGCTACACTGAGAGATACAAAATAGAACACTTCATAATGAAGGCATAAAAAACTGCAAAGGCTGAGCAATGTGCCAGGCAGGCAGGGCGAACAGTGCTTGACTCAGTATCCCCGATGGTCCCACTTTAGTGTAGTGTCATGACGTTTGACATTTGTGATGCTTGAGCTCACCCAGGAAAGCTTCATGTGTTTAACTTCAGAAAATAGTGATTCAGATAAAACACTCCTTTGAAAGGAAACACCCCGCTTAATAGAAAAGGCTTTTAAGGGTTACTGATAGAAAACTTTCAGTTATCTGGAACACCCCATTAACCGCAATAGCAAGGCAGCTGGGAGGCAGAGGAGTGGGGTTGGAGCTGGGTGAAGAAAGGCATCCTCTGCAGTCGGAGGCTGTGGGAGATCGCGACTGTCTGCAGAAAGAACAAATAGCAAAGCCATGAGCTCATCTCCTGTTTACACTTCAGTTCCCCACATTAGTGATTAATTGTCCCTGTGTTGTGTTGCCAGGGCAAATTGCTTTCCTTCTTATTTTAAATAAATAAACCATTAGTCTCAAAACAGAAGTGTCAAATGTCAAGATATTCTGCCATACTGTGCTAAGGAACAGAACAATGGGCTTATTAAAAGACACTCCTAGAGACAGACAGGCTTTGAGACCTTCCCTTTCGTGGCAGAAACCGCTCTCCGTAGGACTTTCTCCTGTAGCTTGGTTAAAACACCAATGCAGATGTTACAAACAACACAAGCTTCAAGGGATCAAGTGAACTTTAAGGCCGCAGAACAGGAGTAAGGAAGTAGGTTAAATGTGCATCGTCAATGAACTACACCAACCCCCTGTTTCCCCAGACAAGACAGAAAGTCAGCTTTTAGCAACCAATGGATTACCTCTGCTTTGGTCTCCAAATACACACAGGGTCCCTGGCCCTTCCAAAGGAAGGAATTCTTTAATTAAGTAGGGAAATTTTGCATCTGATCCCAATACATGTACATGCATGCGATTTCTGGATGCCTCCAAAAGATTGTTGTTCGTTTTTCCGGGACTACCTATGAAATATCTCATTGCAAAGTTTTCAGGTTCTTCCGTTTACAGCATTGACGTCATCAAAGGTCAACCACAAGGAGCTGCAGTGTCCTTCCCAGCACAGCTGCCTGCTCCAGTTTTCACTGACCCCCTGGCTCCTCACGGGCCTCACACTGTGTCTCGAAGCTTTAGTCCCTGTTAGCAAATTTATTGGATAAATAACTATGTGTCAGGTTCTATTCCATGCCTTGGTGAACCGGCTACTAAAACCCAAACACCCCTAAAATCCTGTAGCTTATGTTTCGCGGGGAACCTTTCACCCACAACTGCCTCTGTGAATTCTCTTGTCACACTGTCACCGCTCCGCGTGTGTCTGTTTGTCTGAACGCCACCATCCCGTGAATAACACTGAGCCTTGTTTTTCTCTCATCACCCCATCTAGCCATGCTTCGTTCCGTGGCAGGCACACACTGGGTGCTCTGTGAATGACCTTTTGTGTGTTGCTTCCTTTCCCTGGAAGTGTGGTTAAATTCCTGCTGAGTATGGAACCCGCCTGTGAGGTTATCTAGCTCTTTTTTTTTTTTTTCTCCTTGAATCGTTTCCAGTGAGCAACTCACCTGGCTGGCAATAATGGCAAATGCCACGTACCTGTTGAGGGAACGAACCGGACCAGAAGAAGGTGATCAGGTGGCCACATTCACTTACCCAAGCCCCATGTCTGCCTCCTATCCCAGAGTCTCTAGTTTGCTCTCTTTGAGTTTCCCAGCAGCTCTGCCCTCTGTCTTCTTGGAGATCTGGAGAGAGGCTGACATGGGAAGGATTCATCTTGTTCCTGTCCTCTTTGACCCCCAAAGGTAGAAACAGAAGACCAGGTGCTGGCAACCTTCTGTGGCAGGGAGACCACTGACACGGAGCAGACCCCCGGCCAGGAGGTGGTTCTTTCCCCTGGCTCCTTCATGTCCGTCACTTTCTGCTCAGATTTCTCCAATGAGGAGCGATTCACCGGCTTTGATGCCCACTACATGGCTGTAGGTAAGTCGCCTCATCATTGTGTGTCCCTTCATCCCTGGAGATGGAAACTGCCCTGTGCTCACTCCTGGACTGACACCTGTGCTCCCACCCCATGGATTCTGCCTTCAGTAGCTTGTTGCATTTATTCCATGGACCACAGATCCATTCATCTAGCCACCTTTCATCCAACAATTTACCTTTTTGAGACATTCCAGGGTAGGGACAGGCATCACTATACTGCTTCCTAGTTCAACACCTGCTAGCAATGTTTTGTTTGACTGTAGAATGCACATATGATGAAATGAACACATCTTAAGCATGCATTTAACACACATTAAATTTCACTATCTGCCAGAAAGTTCCTCATGTCTTGTCCAATTAAACTCCTTGCCCCCAGATCTCTCACAGTAAACAATGGTTCTGACTTTCTTCTTCTATACATTAGTTTGGCCTCCAAAATGTCACTTAAGTAAACACCCAGAAAATATAGCGGGAACATGATTATCTTTCGCTCAGCATAATGTTTCTAAGATTCATTTATTTTGGGTTAGCTCCCTGATGGAACTATGTTCCAATGCATGAATACACTGTAATGGTTTGGGTTTTTTTTTTTAGGGGAGGGCGTGGCCACTTTCCCATTGAGAGACACATGGGCTTCACTTTGTTTTTTCACTCCTTAATAAAGGTTCCTTCAACCTTTTTATGAACTATTTATTGGTTAATATCTAGATGCAGAATTGCCTGTTTGAGCACAGCTGTGTTTAGTCTTCCAAGAAATTGTCAGATTTTCTCCAAATAATTATGTCATTTGTAAAACAGTGTGTGACATTTCTGATAGCTCCATGTCCTCAACGTTAAATGTTGTCAGTCTTTTCTCCCTCATTTTTATTTACCCCTGTGAATATGTGTGGCTTAAACTGTAACCCCTGATGGCTAATAATGGTGGATATCTTTTTGTTTTGTATACGTACTGGCCATTTGTATGTTTCTATAGAAGAAATAGATGTGCAGACCTCTAAGACAGGACTTGATCTATATGGGGACAGAGGGCATGGGGCTGTGGTGGTGAGCCAAGCTCTCCAAGTCCTGAGTTTTCTGTCTCAGTTTCATCATCCAGAGGGTGAGGGTGCTAAGACCGGCATGGAGTGTGATAATTATTGTAACCAAGATGTGGTGATCACCTCTACCAAGGCTGAGATTGCCTAGGTTCAGACCTAGCTCTCCCTGATCTTACAAGTTGCCTAACTTCTCTGGATTCTGCTTACCTCACTTGACAAAGGAAGATAGATAATGGCCCCCTCTGGGCTTTACACAGGGATCAAATGAAAGACAAGCATGACCCTCCCCAAACCACGAATGCCCGTAAGTGTTTTGTTAAGTGTGGCTTAATCATCACGTGTGCAGTGACTGATGAGAGGCTCTGCCTGCCCCACAGATGTCGATGAATGCAAGGAGAGAGAAGATGAAGAACTTTCCTGTGACCACTACTGTCACAACTATATCGGTGGCTACTACTGCTCCTGCCGCTTCGGCTACATCCTCCACACAGACAACAGGACCTGCCGAGGTGGGGCCAATGGTGACTCTGGGCTTTGCCATGATGTGTCACATGTTCCAGGAACATCAGCTGAGACACAGATCCATAGTGCATACAATGAAAAAGATAAGTCAGGGCTGGGGAGATGGCTCAGTGGGTAAAGAGCTTGCTGCACATGCATGAAAACTTGCATTTAGAACCCCAGCACTCATGTGGAAGCTGGCTTTGGTGATGCTGCGTGCGTGTAATTCCAGTGTTCACAAGTAGATCTGAAGAGCTTGCTGGCCAGCTGGTCTAACAGAGATGGAACAGTGAGCTCCAGGTTCAGAGAGAGAACTGCTCCCAAACTTAGGTTGAGCACCCCAGGAAGATCCCTGACATTGAACTCTGGTCTCTATGTCATATGCTCAGGTATTCACACCCATATTTACACACACACACACACACACACACACACACACACATACACACAAAGACAGACAGACAGACAGAGACAGTCAGACAGAGAAACAGAGAGAGAGACTGAGAAGAGAGAAAACACTAAAAAAAATAAAGCCAGAGATAGACACACATACCGCATGGATATATCCTGAGGTGCTCATCCCACTAGGAGTCTGGGGTCTATTGTCAGAGGAGCATACAAGAAACTCTGAAGTCAGGCTGACCTTCCTGGGCACAAAGTCTGCTCTACGGGTTTCTGTCTCCTCTCCTACTGCAAGTAACCAACCTGACCAAGCCATGGGAAACCTGGGTTTTCCAGTTCTTTCTCTATAAGCCATAAATTCAACCAAAGGTTCCATTTTCTCTTTGTTTCGGTAACATCTTTGTCACTCTCTGACAGGGCTTAAAGCCTCAGACCGAAGGACAAAGGAGGAAAGAGGGTAAAGATAGCACGGAAGTAACTCATTCCTACATTGCTGTATCATCACCTACCACCACGGCTTCTGTTTTGCCACTTCAGGTTGGGTCAGAGATGGTGAGCGTTGAGCGAGGAGTAATCCCCAGGCTAGCTGGGCAACAGCTGCAGACACTCTGGTGTTTAGATGAAGTCAATGCGACACTTGCCATGCTCGCATAAAGGAAGCATGGTCACAGCATCCCCGGACGTGAGCTGGCCTGGAGAGGTGACAACTGTGTCCCTTGACAGAAGTGAAGGAATATGGAGAAGTTCACCCACACAGGGAGAACAGATCCTAGAATCATTCAGTAGTGTAGTAGAACTTAGGACAGTTTGGGAATTACCTGTGGGTTAGTATGGCCCAGGGCAGGATCCAGCTTGGAGAAGGCTCAGGGAAAGAAGCCAAACCTGGAGACAGAAATACTTTACTTTTTCCTTCAAAACTTGCTGAATAAAGCCGTGTGCCTCCTATATAAACCCAGTAACACGAGGCCGTAGTTTTCAAGACAATTTTCTCAAAGAGAATTACGGAAGCTCAGGGTCAAGATTTCTCACTTCTTTTCACCCTGACCCCGGGAACCTTCTAGAGAAAATACTACAGACTTGCTGTGCACCTGTTAACAAACCCCATGCCTACCTCTGCACTGTGAATGCGAAGAGAAAGACTTCCCCTCCCCTGAGCCATCCCTAGTCCTCCCAGGGCTGACTGACCCACGAGGATGCGAGGATGCGTGAGGGAGAAAGTGAAAACAGATGTGGACGGGGGAGGCCTCTTTCTGCAGCTCTTGTTGGAACTTTATGTTAGTCATGCTTGCCGTTCCGGGCTACTGTTTTCTCATTTGCAAAATGAGCACAATGAACAAAGACTTACAAAGCACAGGCATGCCAAGCCTGGGAGGGGCCCGACCCAAGGGACCAAGGTTCAGCAGGCCTATAATGGGCTAAGTCACGGTGAGGCTCCCAGGGAGCTGGATGTTGGATAGCAGAAAAAACAAACAAAAATCAGAATCCTGGGGTTCGCAGAACTCAGTTTAGTGGGGGGTGGGAGAGATTAACTAAGTGTGTGACATGATGTCATCGAGTGTGTGACATCAGAGAGGATAGACTGGGCAGTCAACAAAAGAAAGACAGGGGCTGGGCAGTGAGGGTGTGTTGTGGGAGGGGGAGGACTTTTCTTAGGTGAGGATCAAGAATGGCTTTGAGCAGAGACCCAAGAGACAGACAGGCAAAGGAGGGGGCACGAGCCAAAGAGGTCTAGATGCAGCACCCGCCCCTCCATCTCAAAGCTGATCATTCTCAGAGTGGCTGCCTGTCCCTACCAGAGGATCCCATGGTGAGGGGCATCATCTAGGGAAGCCCCATCTAGAGAGAGACTTAGGAAGTCTACAGCTGAGTCATTTTCCACAGGGGACAGTGGAGAGACCACTACCCTCCCCAGAGTTTCAGTTTCTCAGTAAAATGGGGATTCCTTCTCTGCCTACCTCCTGGGAATACCGCAAAGATTACACAGTGGCAGATGACCAAGGGCTGGCTGTGTCTGTGCCAATGGAGTGCCCTTTTCTCTGTTCTGTTTTCTACAGTGGAATGCAGTGGCAATCTCTTTACCCAGAGGACCGGCACCATCACTAGCCCCGATTACCCTAACCCTTACCCCAAGAGCTCTGAATGTTCTTATACCATTGATCTGGAGGAGGGCTTCATGGTCAGCCTGCAGTTTGAGGACATTTTTGACATCGAGGACCACCCTGAGGTGCCCTGTCCATATGACTACATTAAGGTAACCCTGAAACTGCTGCTTGTCCCAAGGATGCTGAAGCATCTTGGCTCAATTGGGTGAAAAAAAAAAAAAAAAACAATGTTCTGGGCTTTTGGCTTTTCATCTTCCCTTTGGATAGGGAGCTAAGTCACTAGCTTCCCAGCATGCCATTGTTTAAAACATTATTTTGGCTTCATCACCTCCACGTTGAGGTCTCCTCTGATTCCAAACTGGCACCCTGGTCACTAGGGTGATAGGAGATAGAGAATTACAAAGTCAAACCTATACTTTAGGAATCCTGATTCAGCATTATGGAGTTCACTCTGTACAGATGCATGGGGTTTTACACTCAGAAAGGACTCGTGCTTGGTTTAATGCACTGTAGACACCTTGAGCTTCTTAATATACCCTGAATAAGGTGCTCATAGTTTTTGTTTGTGCTAGATCCCATACATTATGGAGGTGGTTCTGTTTGAGGGAAGAGACAATTATAAAGGCAATAATGAGGGAAGAAAATGTCTAAGGCCAATAACCACTCCATTTGAGGTTATTCTATGTTGTAAGTCTAATGCAAGGTAACCGAATTTTGAACTTCGGCTGGCATAGTGGAAGAAATAGTTCTCAGATATGAAGGGGTTAAAATCAGAAGTACCTTCAGTGCCAGGTAAAGCATTTGAGCAAAGCCAAATATTGGGCTCTGATTCCAGGAGAGATGCTGAGCCTGAGAAATAAAGGTACCACCAAGTATATACACAAATGCTAATCTAAGCCATGAGGATACTGAGCAACTCAACAAAACAAAAGCAATAGGAACTGGAGCCCATGGCTTCTGAAAGCTGTGAGAGGGAGCAGGGCTATCAATGAGCTCAGAAAGGGAAGTCTTAGAGAGAGATGCACCCAGGAACACCTGTGAAAAAGCTCGAGAATGTCCAGCCTGGCTTGCCCCCTAGTGAGTCAGAAGCTAAGAGGGAGCTTGGCTGCAAGTGACACAGCAGGAACGTTGTGACACAGGGCATGTTTGTGTTGCTGTGGAGTAAGTTGCTCCCAATATAACGGCTTGCAACAACTATTATCACATATTGGGTAGACCAGAAGTCCCTAAGGGCTCTATTGGTTCTCTGCTTAGAAATTCATGAGATTGAAACCAAGGTGGCTGCTTGATGAGGTTCTTACCTTTGGGCTCTGGGGAATAAACCACTTCCAGGCTCGTCTAAGCTGGTGGCAGAATTTTATTCCTGACTTTTGCAGGACTCAAGTTCCACTGGTGAAAGAGCTGTCCTCACTTTCCTCTGTATTGGTCCCTGAGGGGTCCCTCTTGTCCGCCTTCTGAAATCCAAAGGCTTCTGTACAGTAAAGGAAACCACAGATCTAGTAAAGAGGCCGCAACAGTATGGGAACAAATGCAATGTTTGCTGCATGTCTGACCCAGGATTAATGTCTGGAATATACAAAGAACTAACAAAGCTAAACACAAAGGAAAAGCAACAGCCCAACTTTTTAAAACCGGACCTGAATAGGGAACTCGCAAAGGAAGAAATACAAATGACTGAAACAAAATTTTTAAGTGTTCAACACCCTTAGCCGTTTGAGAAACGCCAATTAAAATTACTTTGAGATTTTTATCTTCCCACAGCCAGAAAGCCTAAGGTCCAGAAAACAAATGACAAAAAGTTCTGTGGAGCTGTGAGGAAAGAGGAGCCCTTGTTCACCGCGGTGGGAATGTAAATTAATGCAGTCATTATGGAGATCAGCATAGACCCCCCCCCCAAAAGCGAGACACGGAATGACTAGGACCCAGCTATGTCACTCATTGGTATCTGTTCAAAGGATTCTATGTCCTGCTGTAGAGATAACTACTCATCCATGAAACCCATGGATGCTGCTCTGTTCACAACAGCTGGGACATGGGAAAAAAGCCTAGATGTCCATCACCTGATGAATGGATAATGAAAACGTGGTACATACGTACCATGGAATTCTATTCAGCTCTATAAAGAAAGATGAAATAATTGAATGGTAATGGCTGGAACTGGGGAAAACCATTGAGTGAAGTAACCCAGTCCTAGAAAGACAAGTATTACACGCTCTCTCTCATATGTGGATGCTAACTTGAATCTTTAGATATGTGCGATTCATTTAGCGTAACTATAGAGGCCAGGAAAGTAGAAAGAGGCCATACCAGAGTGAGAAATAAGATCTTAAGGGAGGGTAGATAGCAGAGGGCAGGTGGTTGAGGATTAAAGGACATACTGGGAAGAGAGGATAGGGTGGGAGAGAGGTTTAAGTGATTTAGTAGAGCAAGGCAGAGGAGGGATGGGGTGTGTGTTCGCTAATCTCATGTCAACTTAACACAGGATAGCGTCATCTGCAAGGAGGGAACCCCAACTGAGAAAATGCCTCCACTAAGACTGGGCACTAGACAAGCCTATAGAACATTTTCTTAATTAGTGATCAATGGGGGCAGGCCCAGTTCATTGTGGGCGGTGCCATCCCTGGGCTGGTGGTCCTAGGCCATATAAGAAAGCAGGCTGAGCAAGCCCTGGGAGCAAGTCAGTAAGCAGCACCCCTCCGTGGCCTCTGCATCAGCTCCTGCCTCCAGGATCCTACCCTGTTGGATTCCTGTCCTGACTCTCTCTAAAGATGAACAGTGATGTGGCAGTGTAAGCAAATACATACTTTCCTCCCTGGTTTACTGTTGTTTGTGGTGTTCAATCACTGCATAATAACCCTAACTAAGCTCGGAGGGACAACTAACACTAAAGATGCTTGGGAAAGCCATATGGAAACACATTAATTTAGAAACTTCATATTGTCTCTATCTATCTATCTATCTATCTATCTATCTATCTATCTATCTATCTATCTATCTGTTATATGTACAAGAGATGAAATGAAATTACCTAATATAGGGAAATAACACTCCTCCCAGAAGCCATAGCTATCCAACAAAAAGCCCAATGGCAGGTATAGGATACCACCCTTCAGGTTGTTGGTCCAAAGAGATCCCATAGAATCCTGATGAACACAGCAGGCTACTTTCATTTGCTCTTTGCTATCCATCAGAACTAAATGATAAGGCCCTGTTGCTGAAGACACCATAGACTTGAGTCACAGGGCATGGATAAGTCAAGCTGGTCCTGACCTAGACGTTTCTTTTCTGCTAGCTAGCTTTCATGGTGCCTATGGTGTCATAGAGGCTGCTGAGGGAGAATAGTTACCTACAGTCAAACCCAGGCTGCTGAGGGAGAATAGTTACCTACAGTCATACCCAGGCTGCTGAGGGAGAATAGTTACCTACAGTCATACCCAGGCATGTGTTGTGTGAGCTACAATAATAGCCCGGCAAGATGTGTTCTTGAGTACAATGGTGGCATTAATGTTAGTGGGGTGGTCAATGGCTTTATGGTTGACTTAAGACCCACACTACAGAACAGTATTCATGCCTGGCACTGTAAATTTTACAAAGAGCCTATCACTCCCGGGAGACCTATATAAGGTCAAGCCAGTCAAAAGCTCAGCACAAAGGAGGGGTTCACAAAGCCCCACGCCTTGCTGAAGAGCTTTGTCAGTTGAAGGCTACTAAGATAAAATGTATTTTCTTTAGGGAAGTGGCCCCTGGCAAGTTGCCTATGCTCCAGTTGGTGGTCCCACACCCGTGTGCACAGGGACAGCACCGATTAGACTCAGTGGATTATGGAAAGAGGACATTTGTTATGTTGGAAGGGAGATGTGGTGGTGGGGTCTGGGTAGAGTTGGTGGGGATGTGAGGTGTAAATATAATCAAAACACATTGTAAATATAGCAAATTCTCAAAGAATGAAGAAACCACTTTTTTTCAAGTGCCTCTAGTCACAAGGGAACACACAGGGAGAAGGCCATGTAGACCATGTGGCTTAACAGTAACCATGTCCCAGGAGCTCAGCCTGGGATCCACATGCAGATAGTGAATGTCTTCAAGCGTCATTTCCTCTGTCCTCAGCACAGTGATGACATCACCCAGGAGTACAGACATTACCAAAAGCTAACAATGGAGTCCTGGTTCTCAGAGACAATGGGAATGGGTTATGTGCACTGGACTGGGACCTAGTGGGGAGGTCTTAATCAGCCAATGGCATTTAAGGCTGTTTCTCCTCTTCTGCAGCCTCCAGTATAGTCCTTACCCTATCCCCTCTGTCCTTCTCATCTGCTGCTTCCCCGACTGATGCTCTTGCTTCATTCTTGCTCCTGCATTATCCCTTTTCCCACAGCATAGAGGGTTACAGCAAGGAGATCAAACCAAGGTTATGCATGGAATTAAGCTAAATTCCTCAACAAAATAAGATCCCTGTCCGTCTGTCCATCCTCGCCTCCTTCCACTCCCCCTGTTCCAGCTTCTCCTGCTCTTCACACCTGCCAAGGTCTTTCCCACCTTTGACCTTGATTTTTTACATATACTGTGGGGTTTTTTTTGTGCCTAGAAAATAACAGGAAAAATATGCTGTTTTTCTGTTTTCTTCTACTCATCCCATGTGTCAGACCGAACATCATTTCATCATCGAGATTGCCTTATTTTGTTACTATGCTTCTATTACACAAATGGTGACTTCTATAGATTATGTACACTCTAATATTGGAATTATAAAATATGGCAATGTTCCTATTACACACATATATATACAATGATTTTGTTTAATTATTGATAGTCACTACAGAGTGGGACCATCCCCTATGCTGTGCACTGTATAAGACTGCCCACAAGATGGTCATTGGTAGTCACAGCAGCACTAGCTTGCTTTATTAACTCCAAAGGCCACTAAAATTATGACAGAAATGGACATAAGGCCATTTGGTAATCGCTAAGTCTACAAACAAGAGTGTATACTATGGATTTGCATTAGAGTTTCCAGAAAATTTCAGCACTATTCTGCCTGAAGCACTCAGATATGGATTTTTCCCTCTCCCTGCCCCCCAATAGATTAAAGCTGGTCCAAAAGTATGGGGGCCCTTCTGTGGAGAAACATCCCCGGAGCCAATCAGCACCCAGAGTCACAGTGTCCAGATCCTATTCCGCAGCGACAACTCAGGAGAGAACAGAGGCTGGAGGCTCTCCTACAGAGCAGCAGGTAACCTTTTCCCTTTCCCAGGTCACCCTGAGCCACTGTGCTCCTTACTCACAAAGAGGGCTCTTGAGGGAGGATGGATGTAGTCCAAGCTAGAGACCCACTCCTCTGAGGACTTTGAGAAACTGGGAACCAAGGTACAGGCTACCTCCTGGCTAAGCTTCCCACTACGAGTGGGGGATGGGCACAGGGAGAATGGGCTTATCCTCAAACTGGTTACCCTTGAGCACCCCAAACACCATTTCTCTTTCCCCTCACATGGAGATTCATCAAGCTGAGAGGACCTCCCAACCATGGCCGTCTGTTTCCAAGTCTGGCACGAGAGTTTGTGGACCCGGAGTTTTGTAGAGATTGGGCTCTATGTGAGTTCCTGGCCTGGCACAGCCTGTAGCCCCAATCCCTAGCGCTCCACAGCAGCTAGTCCTGATAAAAGCCCAGAGGGAGTCCTGTGACTCACTAAGTCTGTAATAACTGAAGGAAAAAAGTGTGGACAACAAGGAGGAGTAACTAATCACCATCATAGAACCCGGAGGCCTGGCTCTGTCTGCCTGGCCAGGCGGGGAGAGGAGTGACAGAAAGTTAACAAAGGAAAGTTTGTCCCTGAGGTGTCAGGACTAAACCCAGTGAGGCTCTTGTTGGGATCAGCCCCTTGAAGAGAAGCAGAGGCATCGGAACACAGTCCCTTAGTGTCGTGGGATGAAAAGGTGACTGAGGTCATCCTGAGTAGCCAGTAGTGAAAAAGGCCAGGGCACAAATTTCAAACCAATAGGAAGCCCTTGTTTATTTAACCTGAGGTATCCATGAAGTACAGGACTCAGGGATGAGCTCCCTGTCGCTATGGGACAATGGCCTTTAATGTTCCTCTAATCTCTGAGTGTCAGTGAAATTGTTTGGTTCACTTTACAAAAGAAGAAATGGAAGACTGCCTTAGAGAATGGCTCACCCCTGCTTTCCAAAGTTTTGCCTCTAGACGCCCAATCCTGTCCTCTCTGCCTCCTTCAGGCCTTGCTTCCCAGGTACTGGCCCTTGGCTGTCATTTTTCCTCATTTCTCACCTGATGTCTCTTCATTTGCTTCCTGCCAGGAAACGAGTGCCCAAAGCTACAGCCTCCTCTGTTCGGGAAAATCGAGCCCTCGCAAGCCGTATACTCCTTCAAAGACCAAGCGCTCATCAGCTGTGACACGGGCTACAAAGTGCTGAAGGTGCAGAACCCTGCCTGGGAGGAGGAGTGAGCAGGCTGGAGAGTTCTCCAGAGCCCCCCCCCCCATGATGTAGGAGCTGCCATAAGGCCAGCTCAGCATGTCCTAGCACCCTCTTGAGCATCTCAAAACTCCAGGAATTCAAAATGATGTATTCTAGCCACCTCTCGCTTCGGGACACAGCACACAAGTTGTACATCGGGGCATGAGTTGTCCTGATTGCTTTAAAAATATGGGGTCATATGGCTCTATATTTAGGGACAGCGACATTAACAAAGGTCATCAGAGGTGGAGGGGGTTGGTGCTGAAAAAGGAGCAGGGGTTGTAAAGATGGCCAATGGGCACTCCTCTAATTCCTACCATCCAGCGTGGTGGTGCGGCTACCCTCCTTCCAGAACAACAGGAGTAAGGAAGTACAGTCCCCATGTACAAAGGCTGGGGACCAGAGCCAGTGGTTGGGATCTTTATGTTCCCCAGGTGAGTTCACTGTACAGCCAGGCTTGAAACCCACTGCTCTGGAGGAATTGCCCTCAGGAAGGGGCTGGGTCGGCAATAGCAGCCCCTAGGAGCTTGTTAGAACCATGACTCCTTGGGTAGGTCAGCCGGACCTAACTGGAATTTTAGTGGCAAGGAGCAGCAGTTTGCCTCCGCTGGCCCTCTCTAGGTGACGCTGTCTGCTAGCTCTAGCTAGAGAAGCATTGCTCTCAAACTAGAGTCAAAACTATACCTTCTTCTCTAGTAGCCATTGCCTGTGCCCCGAGTATAAATGGCGGTGACAAAAAGAACGACCATCTCTTAGGTTATAGGCAAGTTTACCTTTGGGACTCCCTGGTGGAATTCCCAGTTGAAGATAGCCAGGTTCGAGGTCGGAGTTATCTTTGCTAGGAAATGTGTTCTAACCCACTCCTTCCTGCTTCACATTCCCTTCTGGGTTTCTTTTCAGGATAGTGAGATAATGGATACGTTCCAGATTGAATGTCTGAAGGACGGAACATGGAGTAACAAGATCCCTACCTGTAAAAGTAAGAGAACGGAGCAGATTGGCTACAATGATGCATTGCCTCGTGGTGGGGTCAGAGTCGGGACCATGCAGGGTTGTAAGCCTTGCCCGGGCTCTCTAGGAAGGATGTCATATAAGAGCGGGACAGAGGAATATGAGAGCCCATTTCAGAAAAAGAGTCACACACACACACACACACACACACACACTCACACTCACACACACACACACAGGCTTTTTCAACGGTCTGACTTACTTTCCAAACACAATATTTCCTCCCCACCTACAGACAGGGTACTGAATGCGGTGAAGGACTGTATTCCTCACGGTCTGAAATGAGCCTGAGATCGGGAATTGCTGGCTAGAGAAACTAGATTGGCGTCCGTGCGCCACCGGTGTGAGTCAAGTGATGACGAAAGTCTCCGTGCCAGCCACTCCCCCTCTAAGTCTTCTGGGTCAACTAGTGATGTGGGGCTGCCTAGGGAGGGCTGTGGGGTGAGCACAGAGGACCTATATGAAGTAGAGGACACTTGCTCTGGTGACCCAGACTTCTTGCCTTGTGACCCCCTAACATATTACATGACCATGAGCAAGATCTTTTGCTGTAAGAGGGCTCAGACCTGCTCTGTTTCAGACTTGCCTTCATTCTAGAACATGTGCCAATGGGTCCAGAGAGGAATAACCCCCATAAATTGTCTATTGAGTTTTTAATGAGAATATAAATTTCTAATTACTACTCTGTTACTCCCATACCCTTGGGATTTCAAATATGAAAGTTTGGACCATGATTTTAGCAACTATATATAACTGTATGGCAGTCGGGGTAGGGAGAGGAGGCTCGGGACTTGTTTTAGAGGAAGAACGAGAAGTCCAGATACTATAGTCAGTCATATCGGTGCCTGTTTCATGACCTTCGGCTCTTTCCCCTTTCCTTTCTCCTAAAGTGCTCCCATCTGGCATTCAGACAGATCCCTTCCCTCTGTGCCCAAGGAATCCTGGCAGGAGGACTAAAACCAGAATGGGCTTGTTTCCTTTTTCATGTGGTAAAGGGTGGTGGCCTGAGCCCTAAGAAGGGAAAAAACTGTCCTTTTATAATAAGGTCAGCACCTACTGAATGCCAACGCAGACTTCTGTAGAGAATTCAGGTGGAAAGGAAGGGGTCTAGCCTGAGGACCTCAGATGCTCCTCCAGTAGGTGGCCCAGTGCACAGTGTGACTGAGTTCTGAGCTAGGTCCCCTGCAGAGCAAAAGCAAAGATCATTCTGAATATCAGCGAAGTGTCTGGTGCTCAGGACAGAATCGCACTCTGTAGTCGGGAAGTCGTGACTTTAAACGTAGATTCTAGCAGTTGGGTGGGCCTAGCTAATTTACTCATACTCTTTTGGTCCCATCCTCCCTGATCAAGATTGTGGTGAGAACTAACTGGGTTACTACACACACCACGACTGTAGAGAGCCAGAAATACATTCAATGCAAAGCGCACTTAGTTATATCCACCCCACCGCCATTGGCAAGCAGGGGTTTCACACTTTGTCTCATATTTCTGGAAAGCATAAAGTTCTATTAGTAGCCGGGCGGTGGTGGCGCAAGCCTTTAATCCCAGCACTCGGGAGGCAGAGGCAGGCGGATCTCTGTGAGTTCAAGGCCAGCCTGATCTACAAGAGCTAGTTCCAGGACAGGAACCAAAAAGCTACGGAGAAGCCCTGTCTAGAAAAAAATCAAAAAAAAAAAAAGTTCTATTAGTACATTTCCCTGGCAGAACACATGGGTTACTATAATGGTCATGTTGACAGAGTAAGGTCATATCTGATAGCATCATTTTCTGTGACCTATGCTAGAAAGCCACAGAGCATCCTATCATTTTACACTTAAGAGTTGACCCAATTCATCCACATTAAGCTAGATCAGGGCTGTTACAGCTCTTGTTAGCACACAGCCAGCAGCTTTGAGCATCTGAGGGTACCTTGTACTCTGCTAGGACCCAGGGAAGACGCACAGGTAAGGCAGACAGGTTGAATCATTGGGAACACGCAGGGAGGAGTTGGAGGCAGACCAGACGTACACAAGGTGTGACTAAGGAGTGTGTAGCAGAGAGACTGGGGGTGTAGCACAGGTGATAGCATGCTCGCCTAGGATACACAAGGCACTGGATCCAGTCCCCAGCCTCCGCCAAATACAACAGCACATGCTTGCAACTCCAGCGCTCCAGAGATGGAGAACGGAGGCAGACAGATAGGTCTGTAGGTTTCTTCAGCTATACAGTGAGGTCAAGGCCAGCCTAGGCCACATGATATTCCGTCTAAAAGATAAAAAAGGGAAAAACGATAAAAATGTACAGAAGAACAGGAAGTGGGAATTATGGGCTGTTGCCTTGGCCCTGCCTCCACTTTGTGCTGACAAGTCCCGCTATCCTCCGAATGCCATCTGTCAAATAAGCATTGTGGACAGATGAATGCAAAGCTCCCAGCCAGGGGCAGAATTTCATCTTCATCAGGAGCCAGGATGTAAGACTATGCAAATTCTCAGAGTGATACAAATTCAGCAGTCCCAAACTGTCCTTCACACTGGCTGTGCCTGCACTGCATTCTTTGTGTTCTGGTAGAGTGGTTTCTGTATTTCCTGCATGAACTATTTCTGCTTTGCTTGCTAACTTTTCTCTCTCTTCCTTTTCTCTCTCTCTTTCTCTCTCTCTCTTTTTCTCCCCCCTTCTTTCTCTCTCTGCTTCCTTCCCTTTGTCTCCTGATCCTACTATGACTTCACCATGGTGACAGAGAGCGAGATCGATTTGGAGAACGAATCCGAGTCAGAGCCAGTGACAGAGTGAATGACAATGACGGGAACCCCACACAATGCAGACATCAAGGAATGGATTTTTTTACTGAGACCCCCCAATCCCAGAGCTACCCCACCCAGCCCCACCACCGACACTCCATTGCCCACTTCAGTGTTGATTAAAAGGGATGCTGAACATGGCAGCTGCGCCTCAGCAGAGGAAAGTGCTGCCTTCGTGAGAACAAATTCTCTCTTGATGATTTCCTCACCATTGAGACAAACTCCAAAAAGCAATGAAAAGACAATGGGTGATTTTTTTTTTAATCTCTAAGAAAACTGTCTCAAAGGAAAATATGTCCTTGTGTCGAGAAACACAAATTTAATATACAATCATATGCCCAAGATCAACATGGACCCTGGCTGCTGATCAACTCCGTACTATAAGTTTAAATGGGTCAGGATGCCAACTACTTGATGACTTTCAAGTTTTGGGGTTCTACTTTTGTCTTAACAACCACGCATTTATAAAATAAATAATAACACCGAGTGTGGATTTTTGAGAATCTGGATGTTTTCTCATTCAGAATGTGTATTTCCCATCTACACTGTTTCGGGCTGAAATTCTACTCTCTGAGGCTTTTTACTACTGGGGTTTACAGGTTTTGTGTTTCTTAAAACTTGTCAATTAAAAGCCTTAAAGAATGAGCATCAGTCGCATCTGGAGGCAGTGGTCCTCGGCTTGGGGTGATGGCTGTAACTAGGACAGTGAAGAAAGAGCGGAGGCATATGAGCACCCACAAGACAATGTCTGCCTGCTCAGAGCACACATAGCAGAGAGGCCCTGCTTCTTAGTCTATGACTACCCAATCTAATGATTAGATGGTCGCTTAATGAGGGCAGGATTCTGCAAGTGTGGACGATGGGCAGTCTGGAGAGTGAGGTGCTGTCTTAGGGTAGAGGTGCCCTTGATAGAAGAGACAGGATAGACACTTAAGACAAGTGTCATCTGGGCAAATGTTTGCCAGGCCACAAAGTCTCGAGAATCCTTATGTAAGAAAAAGATTTGATATGTGTCCAAGCAATTGTCATAACAAAGAACGTGAGATGTGTATCACATGAGAGATGTGAGCAACGATTTCAAGGACAGAAGAACGTGACCTGTCCAGTTAGAAGGGCTTCAACCCTTTTAGGAAGAAGCAGTGGTGGCATGGAAACGTAGTGCCCAGATATCAGGGGTGGCACAGGCGATGCCTGTAATAAGGACATGGAATGCTGGAGAGTCTGATGACATTGGAATATAGGTGTCCTGAGGGAAAGAGATGAGGCTAGGAAGGTCATACCAGGGTCAGGTGCTTATATAGGGCTTCTCTAAGAAGCCCCTGAACTAAGGAAAACATGTTTCAAGTTTAAACCAAGAAAGACGTTTTGGAAGAAACATAAATGGCAGAGAGAAACAATCAGAGAGACAAGGTATGGGATAACACAGCTTATACCAGAGTGGTGAGTTGGGCAGGCTAAGGAAGAGGAGGTGAGAAAAATATTCTGACTCTCCAGGATATAGAAGTGGTCAAATACAAAGAGAGGGTGCATTCGTTTCCATAGCTAACAAGCTACCTCAAAGATGGCGGCTAACACTGGTGTGCACTGACTGCTCTGGAAGTTAGGAGTCTGGATGTCCCAGTCTCAGAGATTTGATCATCATCTCTAAGGCTAAATTCTAGCCTGTCAGGAATTGTGTTGTCTGGAGCTGGAGGCCCTCTGGAAAATCCTCAAAGTGAGGACAGAGGCAAACACATAAAAAGGAGAAACCCTTATTGATCTGCTGGGGACACCGTTCCACACACACACACACACACACACACACACACACACACACACTGACTGTGTCGGGCAAGAAGCCTTTGTGCTCTTGTGATGTTTGCCTCCTCTCAAAGACAAAGCACTTTCTCCCAGTCACGCTGCGCTGGAGTAGAAGGTTGCTCTGTTATCCCTGACTACATTTGAGCTGACATGGCCCTCTCTTTTCTGTTTGCCATCTCCTCTCTCAGGCAGCTGTATCAGTAGGCAGAGTTCCATACCTGGGGCAATGTGAAAGGATGCCCTCTCCTGAGAAAATAACTCCTACTAACACCAACCACTCAAGACAAGCACCTAGTTCCCCTATGAGGGACAGGAGAGTTGAGTCAGGAGGCTTACTGAAGCTAAAGAAACTTCTAGCAGGCTCAGGGAGGCAGCAATAATATCAGTATCCAGGTACCAGTCTAAGGTATTTCCTAAAGATAGAAGGTCGGCTTCAAGTCTCATCAGGAAAGTAAATTTTAATCTACTTAGAGTTTTAAACAGCAATTTCTATTTCTTGCTACTCTGGTGCTAACCTTCATATGCTTACCTCATGAACTGAAAGAACATCTGTATTCTGGGTTATCAATGAAAAGGAACATCTGTATTCTGGGTTATCAATGCAAAGGAGCATCTGTATTCTGGGTTATCAATGCAAAGGAAGTCATTTGTCCGGGGGGCTTGAAGGCCAGGACCCCTTTGGGTAAGAAATACCCACGTGAACTTCCTTGCCTCATTCCCTTCTATCGAATCTGGAAGGCACTGTAATCAGACAAATTGTAACTGAGGTAACTCCAGTCAATCTAAAGGTGAACTAAAGTCCTAGGGTTAAAAACCATAATATCTGACCAATACTGTCTGACTGGTGCACAGAGCGTAGCTGCCTCTCCCCAGTGGGTTAACTTGAGAGGGAGGTGGAATTTTGGAAATTCTTCCAGAACTCTGGCATTATCGACAGGTAACGTCCACATCAGCCAGCTAATGTTCACTATTTAACCGGAAAGCAGATGTCCAGGAACAGCTTGTACCACTCACTGGAACAACCCTGAATCCAAGGTCAGGGCTAGTTCTCACTCCAACAATAACTGCCTAGGTGACTTTGGACCAGTGAGTCTTCCCCCTCTGCTTATCTCTAACACAAAGAGGAAGTTCTACGTGGTCTGCCTCAGTTCCTTTTCCAGCTGTGGAATCCCATGTTTTTCCAACTCTGACGAAGACTATTCTATGTAGAATTAGGGTTTCCTTAAAAACAAGCAGCATTTCCTAGTCCTTGGAAAGAAACCAATAGATTGGGTCCTCAGACTCTGATGCAACCATGAAAAGATGTCCTGACCAGGCTGACGCATGCTGGGTTCCATCCATGCTAGCCACTCACCTAAAACGTGGCTAGACAAGCAAGCTTCCTAAAGACCATCCGGAGGTGGTGTCTGTGGTCAAGTTCTATACTAAGAGGATAGCCGGCCCCAGTATCCAACCACTATCAGAGGAGACAGCAAGCAGGTGGAGATCAGAAGTTCATCCATCATGGCTCTGCCTGCGTTCTGTGACAGATAAGCTGCCTGCAGGAAGTCAGCAGGGTGGAGCTGTATACGCACATAGGAACTGGGTTGTTCTGTTTGTTTGGTTGTTTGGTTGGTTTTGTTGTTTTAATACTAAGTTCCAATGTGATCACATTAAATGTTCTTCTTCAGCCTGTGGTTGGGACTAGAAAAAAAAAGGAAGATGACTTGGTTTAGGTCAGCCAGAATTTTCTCATTGAGCTGTGGGCTTCGTGCCTGGGCAATGGAAGCAGAGAGAATTGCAAAACAAACTGGAAGTCAATGAGGCTACGGTGGGGGAGAAACTCTGGTCCCCATAAATCTCCACAGGCCTGCTCCTGCCCTCGAATTGACACCAGGGCAGGCGAGCTGACCATAGAGTACAACCGTAATGGAGAGATACCCAAAGTGGAGATGCCAGCTATAAGGACGGTATACAGCACAGGTACAGGGGTATTGGTCAGATAGGATACAGTATTTCTCCCTGGAGATGGGTGTAATGTATAACCTGAACGTCTAGGGACAATAGATAGATGCCCTGGTGACCCTGAGAGGAAGAACAAACAGCAGCTAAGAAGGTCACACTTCTTCTCTCTCAGTTGTAGACTGTGGAATCCCAGCAGGGTTGAAACATGGAATGGTGACCTTCTCCACAAGAAACAACCTCACTACGTACAAATCTGAGATAAGATACTCCTGCCAGCAGCCCTATTACAAGATGCTTCACAATGTCACTGGTAAGTCCCCCTCACCAACGGTACCTCCTTCTTCCTGGGCCTCGGGCTGAGGGTGAAACAGCTCTAGGAGGAGTTGCTGCCTAGATATGTGCAAGGCCTTGAGATACAAAGTGTCCTGTCCCATAAGACATAGCATTTGGCCCTTGCTCCCCAGATGGTCAAGGTGGTAGGTCCATTTAGACATGCTCAAGTCATCCCAAGACCAAAGCCAAGGTAGTTTTTTCTTTCACCTTGAAATTCTTAAAATATTCTAATAAAATAAGGAGCCTGTTGGAGGAGCATGAAAGATGCATACATCACAAAACCCAGAGAAGAGTGGGGCCTCTCAAGGAAGTCTGGACTCTTCCTGAAGTAATTCCCTTACATGTCTGAGCTAGAGCTAGGATTTTCAAGAAAATGGCCACTGTAGCTGACCCCACCATTCTATGTCTCCTCTTTGGGTTGACCAGACCAAAGCCCCCCAGAAAAGTTGTAGCACTCCTGTAGGGCTTCCTTCAGAGACATACTGTTACGTCTCGCATAGATGTCAGATGGACTGAGGAAATGAGAAGCAGTCGGTCCTTTTCAGCAGGAAATACAATGTGTGCCAGACCAAGACCCAAACACAGCCACAGTTGTTGCTATCCAGGTCTCTGCATGGTTTCTGGCCAAGGTTCTTGCCTCCACCCACCCCCCACCCCTGGGGTCAGGAGGTAGCACATAGGCCAAAGGAAAACAATCCTCATGGAGACGAGAAAGTCTGCCCTCTGTACGGGATCACTGAGGGAACTGTCCCTTAGTTCCTCTATATCGCCAATGCTCACCTTTAAATCAGGGAGTGAGCCATAGCTCATGGAGTAATTGTCAGGCCCCAGTTGGGCAGTGGACATGGATACAGGTTATTAAAGAGCTTAAAGAAAGGTGAGAGAGGCATGTGTGCAGCATGGAACTCGGTGAACAGAGGTTCTGTGACCCGTGAGACGGACACACGTGCCAGGGCCAGGAGCACAGAGGAGGGCACCGGCTACCCTCAGGTAGGCGGGGTTAGACTGTTAGAGCCTGTGGAGCCGTGCTGAAGAGTGTGGTGTTTAATTCTGAGGACAGTAATTCAGAGCTGAAGAGAATGTTTCTTCGCGGGGTGAGGGGGTGCAGAGATGTCCGGCTGCAGAGACCCATGTTTAGAATAATTGAGAACCCTATTTCCTGGACATTCCATGTAATCATTTTCTTTCTCCGCTCTCACCTTTTCACCCACAAAGGTGTCTATACGTGTTCTGCAAATGGGGCCTGGACAAACGAAGTACTCAAGAGAAGCCTCCCCACCTGCCTTCCAGGTACCTCATCCACCGAGTTCTCTGTCTCATGGTTTCTTATACCAGGTCTGTGAATGTGAAGCTGAGAAGGAAATGCTTTGTTGCTGAAGTGATGTCATCAGAAGGTTAAAGGTCAGAAAAGCCTAGCCCCACCTCTTCTCAAACCAACCCGTGTGGTGTCCGTACTCAGGTGACTTTAAAATCCCTCGTATCTCTTTGTTGTCCAACTCCAATCCTTTCCCAAAGCAATTCATGTGTGCACCCAGTGCGGTGCCAGGGAAGTGAAGAGAGTGGACACTCTGTCCTTAGGCATACACCAGGCCCCAAAGGAGATAATGATAATGTGCTCTTGAACCCCCAAAGAGTCATGTGCACACATTGTTCTGATTCTGTCTCCTTCATGTTTCATCTACTGGCCCCACAGTAAAGTGGAAAGAGGGTTTTGAGGTAACAAGAGGTGCCAGGATGAATATAGATGTTGGGGAATTTGCCTTGGCATTAGAAGTATAGATGATTACTAGCATGTATCATGCCTCACAATGCATCCAAGTACAATTAGAAAGTTATAGCCCAAGATTACACCGCCGTAGGGCTAAACACAACCCACAGAAACGAACTTCAGTATATGCAATGCTGTAACTTATGCATTTTTAAGTTCTAAAATTCAAGAACCACAGCAATTAAAAGATGGCAGTGCTTCAGAAGAGCACCGAGGAACACTGGAATGTCATTGTCCTTCCTGGCTCTGTGCACAGCAGCTTCGTCTCTGGTGGCCTCCATGTTTTACAGAACGGAAATGTTGGGCAGACTGCGATAGTGTGCTGTATGGATGGCACAGGCTAGCAGCCGTTGGTGCTCAGTTAGCAGGCTTCTAAATATTGGGTTATCCATAAAAACAACAGGCTAAGGAGTTTTTGGAGATTAACCCTCACGGCAGGAAGAGCACAGCAGCATTTGAGTCTGCTCCACCGCAGGGACACTGGGCTCCTCAGAAGGGGAAGTAAAGGTGCACACTTGTGCAGGAATAGGGAGGCGAACACCAGGAAGGGACTGAGGCCACACCGCTCTCACTTTTACCAGTTTCACTCACCTTAAGTTGTCTTGAAGGCAAGTTCACGGACTCAAAGTGGGGATTACTTTAAAAACAGCAGAACGGTGGGTCTATGGAAAACTGGAAATTCAGATGCTCATACTCCTAAAAGATTATGTGACCAAGAAAACTAAGATAAGTTGCCATACTATAAAGCCACAATGTGATGTCTAGTTGGGGAACACATACCTGGCTGGGGGCATGCTTGCTGCAGCTGCTTCCCAGTGGGGTCTTTGGTAAGAAATCATATTATCTGGGACTGGGATTCCATACCTCAGAAATGAGTGACCAAGACCAAGAAATGGCTCACATTTTATGGTTCTCAGTGGCCATCGACCTCACCCTGTAAATAGCGCCTTGGATACACTGAGTCATGAAATTTTTTAAACACACAGAGTTTGGCAGGACCATAATGTATCATTGTACCATGCTAGAACTTTTTAAATTCTTTCCTTCTGAAAGCCTGGGTAGCAAGCCAGAACGGACAAAACCATTTCAGCCAGTGCCACAGCATCTACCCTTTTGGGGGTGGAGGGCCATAAACAGTCGGGAGTCACATTTTTTTTCTGACATGAAAACTAAGGATCAGAAGGGTGTGGTGACTTTTGCAAGGCTACCTTTGGAGTTGGGGCTAAACTATAAGATAACTCAGAACATTGCTATCTACATAGGCAGGGCCGTGCTTTCCTTGACGGATCATAGGTGCTTCATCCAAAGGTATTCAGAATCTCAGAGCATCACTTTTCTGTTTTAAGGAACCTGCTTCCTTTGGTACCCACTATTTTTATTTTCTGTTTCAATCTGACCTCAGCATCACCAAAGCTTTGGACATTCCAAGAACGTTCTCTGTCCAAGGAAAGACTTAAAAAGCTGAAGCAAAAGCAATAGAGGAGAAGGATGTGGAGGAGGAGGGTCTTGTTTCAGTACCCCCCCCCATGACCTGTTGCATTATTTAACCGCTTGAACAAAAAAATCAAAGTTACATCAGAAGTAAAACATTGTAACGGGCAAATGAAGCTAGTCCCCCGTGAGGCAGGTTGCATTTCCTTTTCTTAACATGACTCTCAGTCAGCAATAACCTTTTCTGAAACTTTGTTTCTCCATATATAAAGCTGTTCTCTAACACGCTTTGAGTTGTGACCTTCTGTGACCTTGGGAAATATTTGCACTTTGGTCTGGGAGAGGAGCTGTTTGTTGTTGGCCATGAGCTCTGTTGTGACATGGACTGAGACACCTCACCAGATTTTAGCCTTTGTCTGCTAGATGAGTTTTTAAGGCCCAGCATATTCCAGACCTACCTTGAAATGTCACCTTGCTGTCTGCTGTTTGCGATGAGAGACTGGCCCTCAACCTCAAAGCCCAGGCCAGAAAAGCTTAGAAGGTCTGTTCACATCTGGCTTGGAATAAAAGACAGGATGGCCCAGGATCGTGGACGAAGCATTTGGCACTGGGAAGAAGAGCATCCGAAAAGCATTAGCCTGTTGAAAGTTTACCCTCCCCAAGTCTCAAGAGAACCCAAATATTCCTCTGCCTCTTAAGAATTGCTAGAAGTGCCCAGGGCCAAAGAGGATAGCCTGACCATTGCAACAGGAAGCGCACACCCACACCAGCCTCAAACACCCTTCCTGGGAAACACCCATATGAGTCTGTCTATAGCCAGTGAGGGTTTGTTACTGAAGACCCTCTGCTCATAAACCAGAGACGTTTGGCTGTGGGGGTCTGGTGACACATGGGGTGCAGCTCAGAGGAACGACATTTTCTCTCTTAAAGGTACTAAAGGGCCCCTGGGGGCAATGATGGGTGACCTTGAGCAGGACTTACCCATCATTGCTTGTGGATTATGCCACCTTCTCCTTACCCTGTGTGCACTGAGCCTTAATGCACAAACATCAGCGAGTTCTTTAGACCAGAGCAATGAGTGAAGCCTATGACCGTGGTCTTAATATTGCTAAAGCAGTATAGGACACAGACGAAACGTCTACCCTATGCTCTAGTTTAGGCCCTGCTACCCAATCTGATATGCATGTCACCATGAACTAACCTTAACCTCTAGACAGTGGCATTCGTGTATAGATTGTGGACACAGTAAACGAAGGAAAAAAATCCAAGAAATTGAAAATTTGGAGATCATCCTTCAGATGTTGAAATCTGGAGGTGACTCAGTTCATTTGGAAAGTGGAAAAGTGGGGTCAAGAACCCACGCGTCCCGGTCTGGTGTGGTGAAATCTATGAAATTCTCACGCAACTGAGTAGTTCTTCCATTCGCTGCAAAAGTCATAAAATAAGAGCTAGTAACACACCCGTGCTGCCGATGAGGGGACAGATCTTCTGGAAGTCACACAGCTTGCCTATGGCTCATAAAAAGGAGTTATGGCGTTAGAAGCTTCCCAGCTGAAGACTGTAGCCTGTAGACGACCTTTTAGGCCCCTCCCCTTCTCTGCGACATCTAGAGAAAACGCCAGGAGGTTCTCTGAATACCTGTAATGCAACAGCTTCTGGGAGAGAAGGCATCTTTCTAGAGAAGAAGAGGTATACGTGCCCCCAGCTAAGGATGGCCTGCCTAAATATGGTCCAGTCCAAAAGCGGTGTGACAGAAGAGGCGCAGGTTGGGCAAGGCCAAAACATAAATTGATCTGGTACACGAATAGCTCTGGTTATGGAGGTCCGCACTAGACTTAGGCTAAACTCAGAGAGATTTAGCTATGGCTAAATCACAGCTGAATCCTCCATATCTCGCAGAACTCAGGGAAGTGAGGGCTCCATGGCGGCATAATCCACAGTGGTTGAGATGCGAATTTCTCCCGATTCTTTTCACATGGTTGACTCTGACCCTGACTCTTGTTTCCCCTCCCTCCTTCTTACAGTGTGTGGGCAACCCTCCCGCCCCCTGCCGAACCTGGTCAAGAGGATTATCGGTGGTCGAAACGCTGAACTTGGCCTCTTCCCATGGCAGGCCCTGATCGTGGTGGAAGACACATCGAGGGTACCGAATGACAAGTGGTTCGGGAGTGGGGCGCTGCTCTCCGAATCTTGGATACTCACAGCAGCCCACGTGCTACGCTCCCAGCGCAGAGACAACACGGTCATCCCTGTCTCCAAGGAACACGTCACCGTCTACTTGGGTCTTCACGATGTGCGGGACAAATCAGGAGCTGTCAATAGCTCTGCTGCCCAAGTCATACTCCATCCAGACTTCAACATCCAGAACTACAACCACGACATAGCTCTGGTACAGCTGCAGGAACCTGTGCCCTTGGGAGCCCACGTCATGCCCATCTGTCTGCCGAGACCTGAGCCTGAAGGTCCAGCCCCTCACATGTTAGGACTGGTGGCTGGCTGGGGCATCTCGAATCCTAACGTGACCGTGGATGAGATCATCAGCAGTGGCACGAGGACCCTGTCAGATGTTCTCCAGTACGTCAAACTGCCCGTGGTGTCACACGCTGAATGCAAAGCCAGCTATGAGTCTCGGTCAGGCAACTACAGTGTCACAGAGAACATGTTCTGTGCTGGCTACTATGAGGGCGGCAAGGATACGTGCCTAGGGGATAGCGGTGGGGCCTTCATCATCTTCGATGAGCTGAGCCAGCACTGGGTAGCCCAAGGCCTGGTGTCCTGGGGAGGACCCGAAGAATGCGGCAGCAAACAAGTATATGGCGTCTACACAAAGGTCTCTAATTATGTGGACTGGGTGTGGGAGGAGATGAACTCCCCGATGGCCGCAGGGGAGCTCCAGGTAGAACGGTGAATGAATGCATTTACTTCCCCAGGGCCTGCCTCCCCTGCTCCAGATCAAGTGAGGTTACACTGCACAATGCCAACAGCGTACCCCATGTTGCTAACCAAACCAAATAAACTGCCGCACACCGACCTAGCTGGTCACTCATCCCCCTGAGACAGGCCCCCGAGACTGGGGTTAATGGGGTGCAGGGAAAGCCTCTAGGCAAGAGAACTCAGCCCAAAGCTTCGAGCAGCCTCTTCCTCTCTCTTAGCCTTGCCTCTCCAGCAGTGCAGGGGAAGCTGTTCCAGAAGGCCTCAGTCCTAAGTGTCAATCACTCCCAATCCCTTGTTAGTCTTGCTTTCTGCTTGGACCTGATCGTTAGGAAAGGAGTTCTTCAACTGGAGTCTGTATCTGTGTGTTTGCCCAGCTCTGGTTTCTGGGCGGGCCCTAAGCCTAGTTCTTCATGTAGGAAAGAACTGCTCTGGATAGGGGAAGCAAGAGCAGAGCCTGAGCTAGCTCTCAGAGAAGAGGACCTTGGAGAACTTTTCTTCCTGGAGTTTCTCTGGAAAGCTTCCCGCAGTGAGAGGCTTATGCTTTGTGCTCTCAGAGTTTCAAATGGCTGAGAGTATACTGCGAGGATTGTACTGACTAAGGGCGGGGAAGAGAAACAGCTCTCCCGAGCCCCTTCAACACCTGCTGTCCACTCAGGATGCATTGGACGTGTGCGCCACTCAGATACCAGCTGGCACCATAAGGCGTCAACACCTGCCACTCCACACAAACACAAAGCAAACTTCCAGCTCTGGAATGTTGCATCTAGAGATTCCCTTCCCCCATACACATGTATGGAGACCTGGCGACTGCTCGGAGAAAGAGAAGCCTGTGCCCCACTGTGCCCCATTGCTTCTCAGCAGGAAAACAGAAGAAAATATGGACTCAAGATGTGATACATCACTCCAAGGCTATATTCAACCCTGGAGCCTGAGCTCGCTGGAGAATCTATCAAGTGTACACTCCAAGCCATCCACTCCTTGGTGGTCCAGGAACCGAGGTCAGGGAAGCAAAAGCTCACTCATTGGAAAGAGATGGAGAGCCCTGAGTCCTGGGTTCTGTCTCGAGCTCTGCCTTCAACTGCCATGTGACCCTGGACATCATTTTCTTCTCTGAACCTCGTCCTCAGGAGGATGAAGACAGAAGATCCCTTAGGGTCTGTCCAGTACTCTCAGTACCCCCTGCCTGATTGCTAGCGGCATCCCTGGCTCTCAGGGCTGAATTCTCTCCTTTCCCAGAGTTCACAATCCCAGGAACCTCCATCAGACAAAGGCAGCTGGAAAGGCCCGGCGAGGGATATGGAGAGAACTGGGAAAGGTCAATCAAAACACACTCCTATATCTATGAATGGCACATGTAAAGGAAACTATATTTTGTATATTTAATACCACAGGCTTTGCTGCTCTCTGAGGGGCCTCTGCACACTGTTTCTCTTGTCAGGGGTCTACGGTGGCAATAAAGCTGTGGATAACCAACAGCCTTGGTTTGAGAGCTTGTTGTGAAATGTGTTCATTTTGATCTTTTAAAAAAATAAATTTGCTTTCATTAGGCTCCCACTCCCTTTGTAGGCCCAGCTACTGGCAACTGAGCATCATCTAAGATGAGGTAGTGAGGAAAAGGGGATGCTTATTGACGTACTTCTTTCTCAGAAGTTAGGCTGTAACTGCCTTCATTTAACTGCCTACAATTGCATCCGTGGCTTCAAAGAGCTCACACTGGCAGACAAGACAGGGCTAAGTGCATGAGGCATGAACTCCAGCAAAGGGAGCTAACTTTAACCAAAGGAATGAGATTGAAGTATTGTGGAAATGTGATTAAAAGGCAGTGTGGCTGCGTAATTACAGGGACCCAGCATGGTTCAGCAGAGGCTGCAAAGATTCAAGGAGACGGAAGGGGTACAGTGGGAAAGAGTAGAAAAACTAGACAGCAGGCCTGAGCTGGAGACAGAACAGAGGACGCTGCCAGACAGACAGACAGACAGTCTTATAAGCCCTGGCCTGCACGGTTTTCTAATTAGAGATTCTCTAACTGCATCTTGTTTGATTCATGTTATGGTATTTGCCAAACATTGCAAATTGCTGAGTCTCTCCCCTGGTAAGTCTGCATCCAACAGGGTCTGAGTATAGCTAGCTTGGGAGGGGAAACGGCAAGGAAGGACTGTGATTTTGAAAGTATCTTGGTGAGATATGGGAGACCCCCAGCAGGCATGGTAATATAGATAAGGCAGTTTAAGCCCACTAAAATGGTGTATCAGCAGATCTTGGGCCATAGGACTCTCCCGAGGTACTGCACACATGAAGGTACAAATGCGGAATCGGCTACTGTGAGAGCAGGGCTGCTTCATGGGACACACACACGGCTCGCCTTCTTTGGGGGTTTTATCATACTTTCGGCGTTGTGTCATGCTTTATATGCCGATGAGAACGAAAACAATCCTAAATTAGCCTTGAAAGCTTTACACATTGTGGTTTCAAAACCTCCCATGACTTGAAGCTGAAGATATTTCTGATTTGCATTCACTAACTACATTGACTTTGGACTGTGGCGCGTGGATTATTTGGAGCACGCTGTGATACGGAATGGGGAGATATATTATCCTATGTCTGGTAACTTTCTGCCTGCTTAGTGCCTGATAAGAAATAGAAGTGTAAGAAAATGGAGGTGACAAGTGTCTGTCAGTTCAGACATCAGAGGTCTGGGGTAGCCAAGGGAGGGAGGGTGGCTGGTGGAAGAAGAGGCCGAGGACTCAGCTTTGCTAGGCTTGACGAATTCGGAAGCAGCCCAGCTGGAAATGTATATTACCAGTCCAGAATCAGGGACTTCAGAAGAGAAAGAACTTTCGAGATAGGAGTTGATACTTAGCAACAATAGGGAGAATACGGCCTGGAGATAAAAGGTATTGTCTGGTGGAAAATTACAGAAAACAAAGGAAGCCAAGGACATTATAGAAAACACCAAGACAGAGGATTAAAGGCAAGAAAAAAAAATGTGCTTGTGTCGCTAAGGAGAGAGACTGGATAGTGGGAAAAGTGGTCACCTGTCCGGTGTGGACTGCGGATCAGAGTGGACATTCATCAAGACAGGACCCAAGCAGCCATCATCCTTTCTGAGGGCTGTAAGGGTGCAGACTGTCTGTGTTTGAACTGCCTAGTACCATATCCCTCCCTCTACCCTCCCTTGTCCCTCCTAGGCAGCCCCCTCCTTCCCTTGAGCCTTCCCCCTGCCTGAGACGGGCTTTCAACTCTCCCTGCAGTATCGTCGTCTTGTCTCTGTGGCACCCAGTAAAAGTTATGCTCGGTTTTCCAGCCTTTGCTTCCTTCAAACACATACATCTTTTGTTCTTACCACAGTGCCTAATTTCAAACAAAAGCCTTGCTTCCCCTCCCTTGATTTCTGCTTTGTTCTTTGAAGTTGAAGTCTATCTCTCCTTTATGGCCAACTTCAATGACTGGTGAGCCACAGGACAAGGCAAGGTTGTAAGAACGGAGAAAACACATTGAATACAATTTCAAAGCCAGTGTTCATGTATGTATCACTGTTGAAGTTCCATGTAGGCCCCCATCTGCCTAAGTACAAGTCGATTCCAAGGACGGCCTTCTTTCCAAGTGTGGTCAGGAAATAGCACCTTAGTCTAAATCCAGGTTCAACAAGGGGGAGAATGTGAAGGGGGCCTGTTCTGTCTTCTTGGGAGAGGCTTCACTGCAAGGGAAGAGGAGAGACTGTGACATGAAAGGAAATAGGGAAAGGGAAGGGGGGTGTGTGTGTGTGTGCATGTGTGCGTGTGTGTGTGAAAAAGCCTTCACCGTGTTTTATAAAAGAAGGAGAGATGAAAACTACGGAAAAGCAGTAATCTTCAGGGCCCCGAATGTCTGCTGGGATTGGGGTAGGGTGCTGGCTTGGGCCACTGCCTATGAGCAGCACCACTGGGAGATGCTACAGTTGGAAGCAAGGGTGCAGCACACTTGTCTGGGATTCAGCCCAGTCTTTGCTTTGAAAGTGGGGCAAGACATCCTGGATCCAGAGAGCTCTGTGGGACCTGGAAGCCACATTGTTGAAGTTAGTGATTCTGGCTGGACTGGAACAAGTCCAGCGTTGGGGGTCACATGACCCAGAATTATATTCTTGCCATTCCCTCATAGACTTAATAACTTTTAACAAATCACATACTTTCTCTGGATTTTGACTGTTGTAGTTTTGAGAAAGAGTTTCTCTGTATAATAGTTCTGCCTATCCCACTATTTTGTAGACCAGGTTGATCTCAAACTTGCAGAGATCGGGATGCCTCTGCCTCCCGAGTGTTGGAATTAAAGGCGTGTCTCTTCATGAGGTGTCTGATCAGAGGGACACAGGGGTGATTTCTAAGAGTGTTCAGCTGTGGGTTTGTCTGTGGTTCCACACCAAGGAAGGCAGAGGAGGAGGCAATAGGGCAGAACTGCACAGACTCTGAGGAAGACTTTCTCTGGGAACAAGGTCCCTGCTCACGGTGCAGAACACTTTTTTATTAGGAAGCTGACCTTTCTGAGTCACAGAAAACCAACATCAAGAGGAGGGGGAAGAGGCAAGACGAAAGAAAGGGGGGAGATCTATGGGGTCACATAACTGAAAAGATCATTCCCACACTCTTTCACATGGTTCCCTGTCAGAGCTTAGCGCTGGGCTATGGCCCTGCCTCGATCCTTATCTTTCTGTTCTGCTTTCCTTGATGCTTGGTCGCACTGCTCTCCTGTCCCCAGCATGTTCTCCACAAGACGCAAGCTGGCAGACCAAACAATAGCTCAGCAATTCTGGCAGAGAAAATCTTACTCTTTTTCTAATGTTGAGTAAAATCTTCAACCCAGACTTTAATTGGCTGTCCAAGAACACATCTCATTTTTAAAGATAGTGCTACGGCTCAGGATGTAGACCTTTAATGAGTCACATTCCTGCTCCTGAAACCAGAGCTGAGGCCAATCACACTCAGGCTGCCTATGCCATGAATGGGGAAACTATACACACACAGGAAAACAAAACAAGACTTCAACAATAACACTGTTAGAAGGGCCAATGGATGGCGGGTGATGTAGTGGTAACAGATGTTCCTAACAGAATGATAATCTGGTAACCCTAGTGGGTGAAGTGTAGTATAGAATGTGACCTTCCCTCCCTCCTTTGGCTGCAGTGTGTGGTCTTCCCAAGTTCTCCCGGAAGCAGATCTCCAGGATCTTCAGTGGCCGCCCAGCCCAGAAGGGTACCACTCCATGGATTGCCATGCTGTCACACCTGAACGGGCAACCCTTCTGTGGGGGTAGCCTTTTAGGTAAGGAGAGGGAGAGGGGGTGAAGGACTCAGGGCTGGGGACAGGGTGAGAGCTAAGCACCAACTTTCCCCTGAAAACTGGCCACTTCTTCCTTGAGAATCACTGCCCCCAGAAAGAGTGTGGATGGGCTGAAAAGCGAGCCTTTGGCTGGAACCAGGACAAGCATACCCCTGTGCTAATTCTGTGAGCTGTGGAGCACTTCCTGGGTTCTGATCAGTCACCTGACAGGTGGTTGGGTATGGATCGTGACCCACGGCCTATACATGTGGCACAGAGATGGGACGGTCCAGAGCTGCCACATCAACCCCCATGCTGTACCTGCTCAATGTGTCTGGAAATGAAGGAGCCAGGAGAACCGAGCGGCTGAACTGAACTCTTCTGTACACTCTGCTCTGGTTTACCAAGCAGATTGATATAGTCTGTATCACTAATTCAATTAGTCACTTTCATACCGACTACTTTCTGCATATTAAATTTGTTTCTCATGGGCGAAAAGGGTGATGTATGACAAGGATCAAAGAGACTTGTGGGGCCTAAGACATCCAAGGGATAGGACAAGATCAGGAAAGAAGAAAGGGCGGGAGGAGCCCCAGGGAAGAAACAGAAGAGGCAGAGAGATGGAGAGGAAGGGTCGCCGGCAATGGAGGGAAAGGGGCCGTTTGTCAGGTTTACAACTTTGTTAGGAAAAATGAAAGATGGACGTCACCCATTGCTTTAAGACTTTGAAGTAGTTTTATTTTTTTTTCAACATAGAGTCTTCCATCAGTAATATTCATCCTGTGTTGGAACTGGTTAAGTGTTTATGTTTGGAAGCTGACATTCATTTTACCATCAGCCCAGCTAAAAGTCCCTTCACACTTGGCCCTCTCCAGAGTGCTGCAAATCTGTAATTCCGGTTTCTGCTATTCTTGTAGTGGAAGAGGGTGGATAGGACAGGGCAGAGAGATCATAAAAATCTAAAAGACAGAGCAAGAGGCAGAACACTGTCTCTGTGTCCACACTGAGGTTCAGTGGGGGGTTGGGAGCAATGGTAGAGTTCGAAGGTGATGTTAATCTCTGGGCAGGCTAGAGCATATAACTAGACTCATCTAGAGAGCCCTGCTCTGAGGCAGGATTTTCTAACTGGGTATCTCAGCCCACCTTACCCACCACCCCAATAAGCCCTGCTTGTGGGCAGCTTCAGGAGGCACCTCATAGGAAAAGCGTGTTCCATGCTGAGATTTGTTCAGAACCAGGAACCAGGAAGCAAAGAATATGTTGTCCCTTCCGAGAGGAACAAGTAGAGTCTGGACTCTGCTCCAGAAACACCGTCCGCCTTTGACTCTGAGCTATAGCCTAGAGCACTGAGGCTTACCTTCCCGCACCCCCCTCAGCCCTGCCTACAGTGACGCTTTTCGGTTTAGCTCTGGCTGGGGGTGTCCAGGCTGCCGCTATTTGTGGACTTGCCATTAGCCCCATTGAAAGGAAGGCCAAAAGTTTGACTCTGCATTAAGTGAACATGAAGACCATACTCATCCCGAGGAAGGTGACAGCCAAGAAGGACACAAGGCCACTAATCAAGAGACCTGGTAGCCCTAGCTTCCTGTCACTCCAGCCACACAACCATTCTGAAGGTTTGTAGTCATAAACGACAGGGCTGGCTATGTACAGCAGTCCTCCACCCTGAGTGCAAGTCAGATTACAGGAGGAGCCTTTCATACATGGCTCCTGGGCCCAACCCTCTAACTCCAGTGGGCCTGATGTGGGTCACAATTCTGATGCCTTTCCTAATTCCTAAGGTGATGACAATGTGTAGTCACCACGCCAGCTGCTAACCATCCGCCTCTGTACCTACCAAGCTGCCATGTGCACAGGAACCCCTTAGGAGTCTTGCTAAAGAGAAGTCTGAAAAAACCCCAGTTGCTACCAATGCTGACAGCAGAACTCCACCAAACAAGTAAAGCTGGGAAGGAAGGCAGTGCTTCCTGGATCTTTGAGCACCCACTCTGGGCTAACTGGTACTCATCCAAGTCAAGAAAACCTCTTTAAAATGTCCAGCCTGGCCTATGTTGAAATAGGGAGTTAGAACTGCAGATTTAATTCCTCGTCTTGTGATGGGGACGTCTGAGTATCTGACCTGGGGCAATGAACATAGTGGAGGCAGGTTTGGGCCTTTGCAGGGCCTGGGGTCGTGCCCTTGAGTAGCATCAAGGCCCTTAGTTCAACACAGTCAGAGGCAGGATAGGACAATGCAGGATGCAGAACATGTGTGCTCTATTCTTCAGGTACCAACTGGGTTTTGACAGCAGCTCACTGCCTCCACCATCCACTCGATCCAGAAAATCCAACCCTACACAGCTCAGACTTGCTCGGCCCTTCTGACTTCAAAATTGTCATGGGTGAGTAGGAGGGCCCAGACTTCCAGAGCCAGTTGTGGTTCTTGGAACAGAGTTTCCCTGCTACCATTTGCAAGGCTCTTCCTTATGAAATAAAGACCACCCGCTGGCTCAGTTCAGTTCACCACTGAGCCACAATCTAATTGAAAACTAGTGCCAGCCCATGGCAGCCTATAAACTTCATAAAAACAAGATCAGCATCTATTGGGAGGGCAGAAGCTGGAAGTTTTGAGACAGGGAGGATGTAGGGTAGTATCTTTTTTGATTCACATCAAGATTTTTAGTAATCATTCGGAATAATGTTTGGGGAATTTCTTTTAAAGTCCTTTTAGAGCTAACTTGCATTAGTCTGAAAAGATGAAAAGATGGCTCCAAGATTGAGAGCCCCTGCTCTTGCAGAGGGCAGACTTCCTTTCCCACATCAGCAACCCACAACCACCTGTAACCCCAGCTTCAGAAGACCTGGCCCCCTCTTCTGACCTCAGCAGGTACCCTGTGCATGTGCAAAGCACACATGCACACACGCACATGCACGCACGCACACATGCACACACATACACGCATGCATGCACGAAAATAAAATTAAAATCTTCTGAAACGCCAAAAACATTGCATCGGGAATGAATAACTCAGAAGTACTCTCAATTTCTTATGTATTATTTATTTATTTTCAGAATTAGCTTACAAAGTAGTATTTCCATATGAGGTTTTACATACATATGTTTCATTTTGGTTGGTTCTCCCCCACCCCACCCCTCTCGCCTCTCATCTCCCTAGCCCGGTTCCCTGCTACCCTTTCTGCTCCCAGTATTCACCTGTTCCAGTTTCCTTTACTGTCTTCCCTACCGTCACCCCCTTAGAGAATCATTTCTTTTTTTCTGGTCACGTGGGTTCCACTCCTGGTCTTCACTCACATTTTCTCCTACCTACTCATGCATATTTAATAGAGACAGGGATATACATGCGAGAGAGAATGCACAGTATTTGCCTTTCTCAGCCTGGGTTATCACGTAGGAGAAACCTCTAATTAAGCAGATGGCCTATGATGCAGACAGTAAAGGGTGACTATGACCAACTGGACAGTGGCAAGGGCATCAGATGAAACATTCTCAGTCACTGTGATTGTCAGAGGTGCAGCCAGGAGAATGTGCAGGATGGGTGAGGGGGTGAGGACAGAGAGGGGAGGGATTAAGGCAGGAACGGGTACCAGAGGGAACTTGGAGTGGTTGCAAGCAAGGCTCCACCTTTCCCTTCACTCTGCTCTGCCTTACACACTTTCTGTGGTCCAGGAAAACACTGGAGGCGCCGCTCAGATGAAGACGAACAGCATCTGAGTGTGATGCGCGTCGTCCTGCACCCCTTGTACAACCCCAGCACATTTGAGAACGACCTAGGTCTGGTGGAGCTGTCGGAGAGCCCAAGGCTAAATGAATTTGTGATGCCTGTCTGCCTGCCTGAGCATCCCTCCGCTGAAGGTACCTGTCTTAGCTAGGGCTACTGTTTCTGTGATGAGACACCATGACCAAAGCAGCCTGGGGAGGAAAGGGTTTATTTGCCTTACACTTCCACATCGCTGTTCATCACTGAAGGAAGCCAGGACTGGAACTCAAACAGGGCAGGAACCTGGAGGCAGGAGCTGATGCAGAGGCCATGGAGGAGTGCTGCTTACTGGCTTGCTCCACATGGCTTGTTCAGCCTGCTTTCTCATAGAAGCCAGGACCACCAGCTCAGAGATGGCACCACCCACAACGGGCTGAGCCCACCATATCAGTCACTAATTTAACAAATGCTGTACAGACTTGCATACAGCCAGATCTGACCGAGGCAATCTCTCAATCGAGACTCCCTCCTCTCAGGTAACTCTAGCTTATGTCAAGTTGGCATAGCAACCAGCCAGCATAGCATCTCTCCCTTGGCTACTCCTCTGTAGTGTGGCTGTGGCTATGGCAAGGCGTTCTTCTTCAGCACTGATGAGGTTCTATAAAACAGCTCATCTCACAGTGTGCGCTTCCCCTAACACAACCAAATCGGAACACATTCCACAGAGGCACAAGTAGTATTAGGCACAAAGTAAACCAGCATGCTTGTTTTTTCATATAGGAACTCCAAAACCATCCAAGTGTTTATACTAGAAAATTTAACAAAGTATTGATGAACTATAAGTAAAGGGGATGATCTGGGATGCACACAGGAAGAAATTACATAGAGCCTGGGACAGGGTTGGGGGAGTTAATAGTCCACGTTGTGGAGGCTGGAAGAGTAGAAAACACCTCCCTTTTCTGAAAACCCCATCATTCAAGAAAACCTGTCATTCCTTTTGTCACTCCCAGCATCACCACGCAGTACACAGAAGGATAGCTGGGGGGGGGTGTGGCTCAGGCTGAACAGAGCTCTGCAATGGCGTGTATGCCTTGTCCGCACTGGGCCCTAGTTTCAATAACCAGCACTACACAGCCAGCCAGCAGTGGGAGGGAGGATCCAATCAAGACCCTGGCTTTCCTGGTGAGTCACCTTGAGGATGCTGCCAGCCTCATTAAGCCTAGGTCCCCCGCCTCTAAACTGGATGTGAAATCCCATCAGGCTGGCTATGTTATTAAAGTGAACTATCGTGAACAGAATATATCCAACGGAGAGCAGGAGGCCAGCCAGGCCAGCTGGCCTCCTCTTCTGTGGAATTCAGTGTGTCATAGCCTCACTCATTTCCTGAAGCTTAAAGATGGTGCAGAAGAGATTGCTGGAATCTGAGAAGTGTTTAAGAGACGTGAGCCGACAGGAAATGTGTAGGCAAGACTGGCTGGCTAACCAGGCACTATGGGTTTCGAAGGGACCAGCTGCCTGGCACACACTAACTTACGGTATTCCTCCTGGAAGCCTTGTACATGTTGGTGTGACTCATCACTGTGCCCAGAGATTACTGCCCCTCTCAACTCACATGGAAAAGCTTCTTTCTTCAGGAGATAGAGATTAACACAGAGACCCACAACTGGTCAAGTTACAGAGAATAAGAGGCTGTGCCTTCTCAGCCCTAAATTATATACATGATATCTATATCACAGCCCTCCTCCAAGGGCTCAGGGATCGCTGTGGACAGGGTGGGCAGAAAGAATGTAAGAGGCAAAGGTGCTGAATGCCCACAGAAAGACTGTTTTGTGGACACAGCAGGGAAGTTAAGTGTGAATTCACAGCAGTTGTGTGAAGTTCAAATAAGCTCTGTGCAAGCCCCAAGCCAGACAAAATCCCAGCATGCAGAGGGGTGCCCAGCACAAAGTCCCACTCCTACCTGAGGAGATATGGTGATTGATGGCTTCTGGGAAGGGGAGAGTCAGTTTTCTCTATGGGTGTGGCCTCTAGTGGGTCAACCACACTCCGGTGTAAGGTCACACAGCCAAATACAGACCACACAGATCAGATTTGTCAGATGAATAAAAAAATAAATAAATAAATAAACAGAGAAAGGGAGAGATGTCACAGAGTTGAGTGGGTCGGGAAGGTGGGTAGATCTAGGATGAGCTGGGGAGAAAGGGATGAATATGATCAACATACATTGTACAAATTTATCAAAGAACTAATAAAATGTAAAAAAAAAGAGGAAGGAAGGGGGTGAGGAGGAAGAAAAAGAAAGAGAAGCTGAGGCTCATCAGCATCATGAGAAGCAGATGTATGAGGAGCGATGCGGTTCTCTGAATTTAAACGCAGTACTGTCTTCAGTATCCAAGGCTTCTTATTAAATGAGAATGCAGTTGCCCTCTCTGCCCTCAGCCCATTTCCATATTATCCCCACATCTGTGACTTCATAAGCTTATGGACTTCATAACCCTTAGTTTGTGAGTTTGCCAAGTCCAGCATATTCATTTTAGGGATGTGGCATCTGAACGTGAGGCCTGACTTGTAACTGACTATGCTGGGCTCTATGTACAAAGTCCTTGACCAGGGGACCTCCTTCCTACAGCCTAACATTGCTGTAGACTTGCTGGTGCAACAGGGAACAAGACGGGTAAAATGACAGCTCTCACAGGGCCTCAGGTCCTTGCTGGCTGCCAGGAAGGCGAGGTAAATAAAGGAACCAGGTAATAAATCAAGGAGCAAATGCCATCCGACTCAGCAGCCATCTCGCCCTGTTCCTCCCCTGCAGCTGCCTTTCTCTGAGTAGTAACTTCAGCCCTTTCCCCTCCAGCAGAGGATGATGCAGTTGGCAGGGCCAATCTAAGCACATGCCACACAGTGTAGAAGGACACAGCTCGTCCATTCCCAGCTGCCCAGACACAAATAATCACACAGAAACTATATTAATTACAACACTGTTTGGCCAATAACTTAGGCGTATTCCTAGCTAGCTCTTGCATCTTAAACTGACACATTTCTATTAATCTGTGTATCACCATGAGGCTGTGGCCTACCAGTAAGGTTCCAGCGTCTTTCATCTTCGGCAGCTACATGGTGTCTTCCTGACTCTGCCTTCTTTCTCTCTATATCTATGTTTGGATTTTCTGCCTAGCTATATTCTGCCCTGCCATAGGCCAAAACAGTTTCTTTATTAACCAATGGTAGAAAACACATTCACAGCACACAGAGGGGCATCCCACATCACACAGATTTATCCTCCCAGTCTCTTCTCTCCTCCAGGAACCATGGTCATTGTCAGCGGCTGGGGGAAGCAGTTCTTACAGAGGCTTCCAGAGAACCTGATGGAGGTGGGGTTCAATTTATATCCTACAAACAGTGATGCCGTGGTTGTGCGTCCAGCCCTCTTGCTGTATTCTGCCTGTTCTGGGTTTTGGAAGCTTTGAGAAGGGAAATGATAAGAGACAAAAACAAGGGCCAGACAACTCCAAAATTTAACAGGAGTCCCAGAAATTTTGAAGTGTTTGTTGACCTGGACTTGGGCTCCAGTCTCTAAATGCCATTCTATGTCCCTGACAGCTTGTAAACATCTCAGAATATGGAGATCCTCCCAGAACATGACAAGTGTGGGTACCCAGCAGAAGACTGCTTAGCAAATTAACAAGAAGGGGCCAGGCTCTGAGAAACGCAGTTCATTCCGACGGGAACTTGACCACAGCACTCGAAAGTCATACCCCCATCATTTCAGACTAGAGTGCTCTACTTAACCTAAGGAGCCATGGCTCCCAATTTTGGACCCTCTTGACTTCTTTATCCACCTGAGATAAGTTATTTTTAGTCTTCTACAGGTGGTAGAGGACAGCATCTGACTTACTAGATTTCCTCTAATAACCGCCTGGTTCTGACATGTCTGGGTTCTATTATGGGGCTGGGTTCTAAATCCTCCAACACATTTAAGTCACTGACCATGTGACAGGCTTGTCACAGTCTAAAGTTTTCAGATGTGTGGCAATCACCCATTGCTGCATTCATGAACTCTCAGATGGTTACCCGCTGTCTCCTGCAAACTAGCTACTAGGCACGCCAGGGAGAAGAGAAGACAAACGGGTGCTCTAGCTCCTGGCCTCCTTGTGCTTCCAGTCAAGTGGGACAGGCAGGAAGTAGTTATGGGTATGATGAAGGTGAGGAAGAAATGCAAGGCACTCTGGGATGTACAAGGGAGGTCTGGCTCAGTCTGGAGGACTAAAGATGGCTTCCCAAAGGATGATGCTCTCAAATGGTACCTGAACGGTGAACAGTAAATTAGGGACTCCCGCATATGCCAAAACAGCATCCTTGTGACACGGCTTCCTGTCCCCACTTTCCTAGGATGGCCATAGCCCAAGGAGACTCTGCACAGACTATAGTTCCCTTGTAACAAGAACATACTGAGGGTGTGTGCTTGGAGCACATGGTCCATTCGGTTTTTGCAGTGAGGGAAGTTGACTCACAACTGTCTGTAACTACAGTTTTGAAGAATCTCATGTTCTCTTCTGTCCTCCACAGGTACCAAGTAGGCATGTAGCACACAAACATATAAGCAGGCAAAACCCCATATGCATTGAAAATAATAATTTTATTATTTTAAATTAATAATTTTCATATCTTTATTTTAAAAAAATACCTAGCACCCACATATAGTATACTAAATAGCTATACACTGTCAAAGCCCTTGGTCATTCATTTCCTTTGTGAAGATGCATGCAATTAATAATTAATATTATTATTAATACTGTGAGGTTCATCTTGAAAATTAGGTGTGAGAGTCTCGATAAAACCACATGCACCAGGTTCCATACCAGGGATGAAGGAAGCCATATACAAACTGACATGGGTTTCTATATGTTGTCATATTTGTAGCTGGTATATATGCTAGGCAAGGATTATTGTTTCCATATGACAGAATAGATAATTGAGTATCAAACAGGCAAAGCTACTCAACCAAGACCACAGAGCAAGTCTGTAGCTGAGGCTATAGCAGATGAGTCCCCAGTTCTCCACTCCGTTGTGCCTTTACCTGTACCACGCGGCAGTTCCTGAAAGGGAGTATAAGGTAGCTGGAGGCCTGCTCGGAAGCTGTCGGACAGCAAGGTCCTCTCAGCCAGAAGTGGACACCAATGATAGCCTTATGTTCCAGATCGAAATCCCAATTGTCAACTACGACACCTGCCAGGAGGCCTATGCCCCATTGAAGAAGAAAGTGACCAAGGACATGATCTGTGCTGGAGAAAAGGAAGGTAAGAAGCTGACTGAAATATAGGTGCTGAGAACCTGGGATGGAGTGGGGGCGAGGGGAAGAAAGACACTTTCTGGCATCCTTCCTGAACCAGCGCCGGTTTGGATCCAATGGTCTGCTGCACCCCCTAGTGCCCAATTGCCTGAACTACAAGTCGAACTCAGATTTGCACTGGGAAAGGGGCACACTGTATTTCATCTGTACCTCCCTTTCATCTAGGGGGAAAAGACGCCTGTGCCGGTGACTCTGGAGGCCCCATGATGACCAAAGATCAAGAAACAAACCAATGGTACCTGGTGGGCGTAGTGTCCTGGGGCGAGGATTGTGGGAAGAAAGATCGCTATGGAGTATATTCTTACATCTATCCCAACAAGGACTGGATCCAGAGAGTCAGCAGAGTGAGGAACTGAGTAGGCTCCCCAGCCAAGCTCCCACTGGTCAGTTGCCAGCAAAAGATCATCGGTTGATGCAAGCATCATTTCCTCCCCTGGCCCTCAATCTTCACGCCCATTCCTGGATGATAATGGAATTTCTTCGGCCCCTTCTCCTTGCTCTTGATAGCAGCAAAGTAGCAGAGTGGTCAGAGTGAAAGTCTGGATCTGGATCCAGCATTTACCACTTTTGGAATGATGGACAGCTGACCACCTCTTTAAGGCTGTATCTTCAACCATGAGGCACAATGTGGCTATACCTGATCTACCTCACAGAAGCACGATGAGGAGAAAGTTACTATATGCATAGGACTTAATCCCATGTATGAACTACACCATGTGTTCCATACGTGTCCACCAGGCAGGTGGGGTTCTTTTTAAACTCCTGCTTGGGTCTCAGGGATGATTAGCGACAGGCCCCCTCCTCCCACCCACCACCATTTTCTCAGTCTGCCCCCTAAACTCTAAGCTTCTTCGCCAAAGACAGTGCCCCAATCCCAGCCCCAATCTCCCATAATACTGTAAAAGAAATGAAATTCTTAGCCCTGTGGCATGGCGCTGCTCACACACTCAGCAATGTAAGTACACTTGAGCTAAGCTCCAATGGTAAGAGTGACTCAGGGAAGTAGGGGCTGGAAGGGAATGGTGGATTGTGAAGCCAGACAACCACCTCCATCTTTCATGTGTCCCTCGATGGGTCCTTTTTCCTCATTTGAAGGACCTTTCAAGCACTGACATTTTAGAATCCAACAAGGCCATGTTTTCAATGATGGCTTAGACTCAAAGTAACCCCAAAGGAAAATGTTCATTAGACTTGAGCCCCAAAACTCTCCCACTGCCCCTGCAATACCCACCGTGATCCACCACACCCAGGTCCCGAAGGACACAGCCAAGGCCAATGCAGCCAAGGATCTTCCCCTGACTCTTAGTAGAGTAGCTCTCCTGAGCCCCACCCCCCTTCTCACCCAGAAACATGGGCTGTTCAAGGCCCTGGCAGGCTTGCTCTCATGCACCTGTTCTCTCCCTCCCACATCCTAGCTGACCTTAAGCAGCCATTGCTCTAGTTCCTGCCTCTTTGTCTCTGCATCTGAGAACCTTCTTCTCTGGAGAACCTTCTAGAGACTTCACCCAAGACAGACTTTTCCAACAGACAGAGACCCATCCCTGTGTCTCTGTGTATGAAAATTGTTCTTCATAGAAGGCTTTGGTCCTTGAGCTGTGCTGCTGCTGCTGCTGCTAGAGCCTAGGCGAATCTCTGGTGAAAAAGGAAAGCAGTGGGGGATGAGGACTTGAGGATGCTAAGCCCAGGGCTGCATACTGGGGGACAATTCACAGCCTGCTTCTATTTCTCTGAGCAAGTCATTCTGCCTCTCTAAAGTTTGCTCTTGATTCTGTAAGGAGATGGCACTTGGACATCAGATACCACTCAAGAAAGCTGGTATGCTATTGTACTAACTGGTTCTGTGTGCCAACTTGACACAAGCTAGAGTCATCAGAGAGAACGGAGCCTCAGTTGAGGAAATTCCTCTAGGAGATCCAGCTGTAAGACATTTTCTCAATTAGTGATCAATAGAGAAGGCCCAGGCCATGGTGGTGTCAACCATGGGCTGGAAATCCTGGGTTCTATAAGAAAGTAGGATGAGCAAGCCAGGAGAAGCAAGCCAATAAGCAGCACCCTTCCATGGCCTCTGCATCAGCTCCTGCCTCCAGGATCTTGCCTTTTTTGAGTTCCTGTCCTGACTTCCTCCAGTGATCGAATATGATCTGAACGTATAAGCCAAATAAACCCTTTCCTTCCCAACCTGCTTTTTGGTCATGGTGTTTCATCACAGCAATAGAAACCCTAAGACATCTATTTAGGTTCCTGATGAAGACTTTTGATGCAGTTTTGAAACTGTTTCGAGGCAGTGAGCCTTCCCACTGAGCAGTGTGCTGGTCCAGGTCATGCTGACGGCAGCATCAGGACCAAGGCAGTGAGGAGAATACAGGCCCTACCTTCTCAAAGCTCCTACTGGCACATATGTGACTGCCGTATGGGCATGACCTCTGGTGAGTGTAGGGGAGGAAGACCTTCAGAGAGTGTGTTTTTCCACAAGCGAGGCCAAGAGGACTCTGGGAGGATGAGCAGGGATCCCTGTCCACTCAAGCTTTCTCAATAACCCCAGCTCCTCCCACAAAAATCATATTTCCAGGAAACCAGCATTTAAGCATGAGAATCAACATCTAAATGGGCCTCTCTCCTTAGAAGAAGAATACTTAACAACGCTTTAAAAGCATTGGGATTTCTGTGCAGATGCCAATTTCTGGCTGGGCCCAGTTTATCCTACTTATCCTCCAAATTGTAACTTCATCCTTATCTTGCAAAAATAACTAATAGGCCCATGGAACTTCAACCTTGTCCAATAAGCATCGGTTAGAAGATGTGGTGGTTTGAACATAAACGGCCCCCATTGGCTCATGTATCTGAAGGCTCGGTCATCAGGCCGAGTGGCACTATTTGAGAAGAATTAAAAGGTGTGACCTTGTTAGAGTAGGCACGGCCTTGTTAGAGGAAGTGTGTCACTTTGGGTGAACTTTAAGGTTGTCAAAAGTCCAAGCTAGGACCAGGGGCTCTCGTTTCCTGCTGCCTGTGGATCCAAAAGTAAGACTCTCAGCTTCTTCTCAACCTGCGTGCCATCATGCACCCTGCCATTATGAAAATGGACCGAACCTCTGAAGCTGTAAGCAAGTCACAATTAAATGCTTTCTTTTTATAAGAGTTGCCATGGTCATGGAGTCTCTTCAAAGCAATAGAAGACTAAAGCAACAGAAGTCTCCAAACTGCTGTTGTGGTCCAAGAAACTTGATCTCCTAGAACCACAGAAACAGAAAGATGGTGTAGCCATGAGGACCACCGTGTCTAAGTTCATAACCCAATGCTAGCAGACTCACCACCTTCAAAGCCAGCCGTTTCCTAAACAATTAGAAAATATGCCGCCAGAAAAAAAAAGGCCTGGCTCCAGGCAACCAGAATCTACCTCCCGAGAAATTAATTTGTATAAGGAGAGCTGTGATTTCATACTCTGAGCACTGTTACTAACAATGATGATCATGCCTGGGACCCATTAGGCAAAGAAGCCATTGTTCTTATGGGAAACTACACATTCGTTCCAAAAACATCTGTGTTGAGTCAAAGAGCCCTGCTTGGCTTGTGTGCGTCTTCATGCACCGATGAGCCTGGTAAGTTGTTTACATGCTGCAAAAATGTGTTCTGTTCCATTAGGATCACTGTAGCATGAAGAGAGAGAGACTGGAGGGAAGGTTGAGTTATAGATACAAAAACATGTCTCGGGTTTTATTGATTCGTTCTGTTTAAAAACCCTTCACCATTGTCCCTGCAAATTACCAAGATACCATAAAGACAATGGTTCAGCACACAAATTATATTACTTGAATTCTCCCTGCATCCAGATTAGAAAAGTTTATTTTTAATAATTTCAGTTTGTATCTTCAATGTCCTCTTCAGAAACTATCATAGCATGTCGACACTGGTGCATTCAAGACTGGAATATGTGCTTTGTGTCTGCTAGAAATTAATCTTTTCTGCAAAGGCTTGACCAAAAATAAAATAAAATAAAATAAAAACCTAAGATGCTCTTCAAGCAAGAGGAAGGTAAGTTGCAGGGAGAGAAAATCAGGGTTGCTGACATACAGACACACACGGAATCTGGATCTAGAATGGGTCTTGAAAGCAAGAGGTGAGGTCTGAAATGGTCACAGTGACTTCAGTCTGTTCATTAAAAAAAAAAGAAAAAGAAACATTGCTTGCTTTCTCTTGGTTGAGAGTATTGAATCTATGAATTGGCAGATAAAAAAACAATTGAGAAATTATAAACTTAGACCAAATATACTGAAGCTTTTACATACATATTCTCTAACTGAGCCCCAAGAATAACCTGTGATAAAATTACTCCTCTAATCCCCATTTTGCAGTGAGCCAACTGAAGCACCATAAAGGTACTGCAACTGAACCTAGAAAGAGAAGCTCCCCACAGCTACCAACACCCCAGAGGCCCAGATCTTGGTGTATCAGAATTCTCCAATGACCTATTGAAGTTGATTCTAAAAATGGGATATGAAATATAAGATGAGCCTGGAGCATCTGGTCGTCAGTGCCAGAAAGTAAGGAACCATTCAAAAACCTCCTCAACGGTGGAGACATCTCCAGAAGGCAGGGAGCCAACAGAAGGAGCCCCAGTGTCAACAGTGGAGACATCTCCAGAAGGCAGGGAGCCAACAGAAGGAGCCCCAGTGTCAATGGTGGAGACATCTCCAGAAGGCAGGGAGCCAACAGAAGGAGCCCCAGTGGACAGAGCTGGAACACTGTGAGCACAAACCAAAGTTGTATTGAATAATAATCCAAAATATAAAACAAGTAACCACAAGTACATATTTTATGGATAAATTGGTTAATGAATGCATAACTTATGAGGGTAGACAAGCTTGCTGTGAAGAAACTTGCCAATCCCTTCAGGGTGAACAGGACATAACCGTTTTCTTCCAGAAAGCATAGTGTGGGGCTGGGTGTAGCTCAGTGGAAAACCACTTGCCTTGTGTGCACAAGGCATCAGGTTAAATCCCCACCATTCTCATGCAAGAAAACATGCAGTATGGGAGACGGGAAAGAGTAACTCCACAGTGCAGACAGCGGCTGATCTACCTTGGCCAGGAAGTGAGGGTTACTAACAACAACAAGAAGCCATAGTGAGACTGCACACAGACTGTATCTCCCTAGTCTGCTCCGCAGACTCCACAACTCCTGCCTAGCTATGAGAGGCATACAGACTTATTGTGCCTGGAGAGTATTCTACAAAGTCTCTGACCAATGCTCCACCAACTATTCAGGTCATCATCAAAAAGAGGAGATGCTGTTAAAAGAAAAAAAATACTGTCATAGTCAACAGAAACTTAGACTGGGTTATATTGTGCCTCCCGACACGACGTTGATACTCTAAACCCCAGGACTTCTACATATGAATTATTGAGAAATAGCATCATTACCAGTGGGATTAATTAAGAGGTCATTCGAGAGCCAGCGGACCTTTTATCCAGGCCAACCGTTATCCTCCTAAGAGAAGAAGAGAAGACACGAATACATAGGGAGAGAGCACCATGCTGGTACGAACAGAATCCTACAGCTACACATCGGGGAGTGTCAAGGGTTGCCACCAAGATCCCAGGGAGCAGGGACATGTAAGGGAGACCTCAGGACAACACCTCTGGCTTCCTGACCATACCTCAAAGGCTCGTCACTTTAAACACTTAGTTTGGGACATTAATGTAGGAGACCTCACAAGCAAAGGCTTCCTGTGGGGGATCCCAGAATGGCTGGGGGTGGGGATGGGGGATGGAATCAGGCAAACACTAAGGAGACTCAAACAAACTATGGACTTGATTGCTATTGATGTATTCATGTCAGTTCATTGATTATGGCAAAAGCAGCGCTCATGTAAACTGCTACAAAGCACCTCTGGAACAGACACAACTAGTGTAGGATATATCGTAACTGTCTATGCCAACATCGCGACCTTTGTAAATAAAAACTGGTCTGAAATGGAGACTTTAAAAACTACATGACTTTAAAAATTATTAGAAGAAACAGGATTTAAAACAGTTTCTGATGAACTCTGGGGCCTAATCCCGGCGCAAACACACCAACTTTTGAAAAACGAGGCTACACACAAGAGTTAACTTGGGAGTACTGGGTCCTTCTTCTGTCTGGAGTAAGAGCTGAGCATTGCTGCTTCTTAGAAGACCCCCAGATGATTTAACAGATGTCCAGTCTGAGAATTGCTGTTCTAAGCCATTCTGCCCATATGGCATGCCCCTTCTGGAAGAGTCTGAGAGGCACTGTTTCCCAGACTTCAGCCTTTGACTGGATTTACTTAGATGATAGGAGACAGGTTGGGTAAGGTGCCCTGGTGTTCTAGCCCGTGATCCAGAACTCTCCTGTGACTTGGTTGCAAAATCATCGCTAGGACATTCTGCTTTAGTGTTTGCCTAAAGAGAACTCCTTCACTTCCAAGTAATAAGCCCAGGGAAGCAAAGCACCCCAGAAACTGGGAGCAGCTTATTGGGGAGCAGGAAGATGAAACGGCCCTGAGTATCTAAGGGAAGTCGAGTGACATGGTTTCCCTGGAGAGACAGACGGCTAGAGAAAAGAACAACACACCATCTGGGGGCATTGGGAGCTACAGGGTTCTGAACAGTCCTGGAATCCTTGGGTTGGAGGATGGGGAAACTTGAGATGTGTGATTGGTTTATCTTTCAGTTGAGATGTCGAGAGTGAACTTGGCGAGACCCAAGATGGCTGCAGGACATCAGGCAAGAGACCTAGTGTTCCTTAGAGAGACTGAGCCCATGGGGAGGAGAGCTCTGTGAATCTGGAACTCTGAAAATCTAGGACCAGGCCTGAAGAAAACGTCTTTAGTTCATCTTCCCCTCTGTGAATCCTTAGAGAGAATTAACAAAAGTAGAAATGGAACAGGGACCAAAACACAAAGGGAGTGATGTCTTTCCAGGTCCCTGGTCTTTCTCTGCCTGCTGGCAACATGCTAGGAAGGAAGTGTGGGTTACTCTGAGCTTGAGACATTGAGACAGGGAGACAAACAGGGCCTTCGAAGTGCTCGCCTGCATCTGGTACACATTGGTTCTTTTTTTCCCCCAAAAGAGATCAAGAAAATGTCACTTGGACGCAAAAACACAGCCTCAATTCCCAGCAATGAGCTTCTGCTCAGAGAGACGAAGAGCCAGGACCCTTTCAACATCATAGCAGGATCAAACAGCCTCCAAGAAAGTACCCAGAGGAATGGGGACAAAGCAATGTCACGACAAAGAGAAGGTGTGTCTAGTCCAAGTGGTGCCCAGGGCATACATGCATGATGAACGACAAACAGGTCAGAACAGGCAGGAATGCCCCTCCCCGGCAGCTTCCGCTACGTCCTGTGGTGTCCCCTATAAAGTGAGATGTCTCCATGGCATGAATATGGGTGGAACCTCCTGCGTATATGTCAAGGGGTGGCTGGCATAAGGCCTGAATGAACACTGTAGGTTTTTGAAGATCTCCACATGGTTCTAATGAACATTGTTTGAGAGCCACTGTTCTAGACTGTTCTGCCAGGACGCAGCCTCTGAAGAATGTGGGAGCCTATTTTTCTCAGACTTATGACTTGGATTGAGGTCACTCAGTAAGAAAAAGAGACAGAAAGAGATACCAGGGTAGTGCTGTTCAGAGGTGGGAGAATTTTTTTTTTTTTGAGAATTTTTAAGTAGGGCTTAATGAGAAGATGCTTTGGTCAGTGGGGCTGTGCCCTTAAAAGATTGTGGTGATTCATTTGCTCCCTCTGTCTGCCTGATTTTTGGCTTAAAATATTAATTCTTAGTCTAAACCCACGCTCTACCATTGCCATCCACTGCCTGCATGAGAACTGGGCCAAAAGAAACTGTATGCCCTTGAGCCTCTAGAACCCTTAGCCAAAGCAGGTTTCTCTTTTCTTAAGTATTCTGCACCAGGTGTTTTGTTACAGTAACACGCCGCTGATTGATGCAGAAGTCATGCCCTTCCAGTCTATAGTAATAAACCAGAGCACATCCCGGGGACCTCAGCTTCCATAGAGACACAGCCCAGGCCCAAGGTCTCAGAAGCTGCTGGCCCAGTTAGAAAATGAGGGCTTTTATCTTCCCTTGGGTTGTTTATGTGACATTATCTTTTCCAACTCCTACAGCTATGCAGCTTGTTTAAACTGTGCCCATTAAATGCCATACGTGCCCACGGCCTGCCAATGGGACCCACGACAACTGAATTTGTTCCTCTAAACAGCTCCGCAATGGCTCTGTTTTTGGTGTGACCCTGTGTGTTCTTAATTGGCAGTCTAGGCCTCCCACTAAGTCGTTTGTATTTCAGTGCATTTTAAATTATGAAATACTTCAAACACTCTGGGAAAAAAATAGACACAAATCCATGTCCTGCTCAGACGCGGTGAAGCAGCACTCTGAGGAATCCCGACAGAATTCCAGCCAGAGCCGTGAGATGGTGTCAGGAGGGAAGGGTGGTGGCTTGGGCCCCTGAAGAGAGTTCTGACATGCACTGTGATGCCCTCGAGCTCAGTCCTCGCTCTGTTTCTAAACCCCAAATCTCTATCACTTCTGTTCTCAGTGCCTCCATGTTCACAGTCTCCCCCAGTGACTTTCCCTTGCTTTTCAGCCTCTTCCTGTGGCAGCCCTGAGTTCCAGTCTTCAAGACCCTTCTCTTCTGCTGCCATTCCTGGATAGTGTCAATTGGTCTCCGGACAGCTAGTGTCCTCTAAACACAGATGACTTCCTGTTTTTCTCCAACTTGGGCCTTCCTTCTAATCTATGGATATCTCGTCCTTCCTTCCTTCCTTCCTTCTCTCTTCCTTTTTTTTGCTTATTTGTTTTGTGTTTGAGACAGAGTTTCTCTATGCAACAGTTCTGACTGTCCTGGAACTTACTCTGTAGACCAGGCTGGCCTCAAACTCACAGAGATCCACCTGCCTCTGCCTCCCGAGTACTGGGAATAAAGGCATGCGCCACCACACCTGGCCCTCTTCATTTCTTATATTCAGTGTCCAAAAGAATGTCTAAAGAAAACCCAAACATTACATCCCAAACCATTCCCCCAATATTGCCCCCTAAATCATTCCTTGTGATAGTCCACATCTTAGGAAGTGACGACCCCATTCTTCCAATTACTTAGGTCAACCCCTAGGACCTTACACCTCTCCCCGTTACATAGCTCCCTGAGTCATAAAAAGGTCCTCTTCACACACTTGCTGCCACCCAGGCTCCAGCCTCCACTCTACAAGAAGCCCCACTGACTGCCTCGTGCAGGCACACCATCAATAATCTTCCTTTTTTTTCAGTCTTGTCCCTCAGCAACCTATTAGCACAGTGTCAGTAAATTCAGTGACCAACATCTCTCATAGTCTCTGGCATTTAAATACTTGATTCTTAGGTGGGGCTGTTTGTGGAGGCTTAGGGGATGTGGCCTTGCTGGAGGAAGTGTGTAACTGAAAGGGGACTTTAAAAGTTTAAAAGAGTCGTGCCGTTTAGGGTTCACTCTCTCCATTTCCCGTGGTTTGATGCAAGCTCTCGACTACTCTGTTTGTGTTGACTGCTTGATGCCACACTTCACTGCTTGGTGGTGATGAACTCTTATCCCTCTGGAAGTAGGAGCCCAAAGTTACCCCCTCCTTCTATAAGGTGCCTTGGTTTCATCACAGCAATACAGAAGCAGCTAACACAGAAGCTGATGCTCGGAAGTGGGTTAGTGCTGTGATAGCTATGACTGTATTGGGTTTTGGAGAAATAAGGAAGGCTCTGGGAGTTTGGACTAGAAAAGTGGTTGAACATTGTAGAAGAGGCTTATTGGCAGATCCTCGCAGTAGCTTGGGAGATAGTAGTGCAGAAGGCCTAGATGAAGAAACATCAGGGAACAATACTAGCTCCTGGGCTGGAGGCCATTCTTGTTATCTTTCGGGAAAGAATGTGACTGTTTTCTGTCCTTATCCTAAGAACTTGCCTAAGGCTAAATTTAAAAATTTTTAGAAATAAGGATAAAGTAGTGGACTAATTTCTTTGGCAGAGGAGATTTCAAAACAGCCCAATCTTGACCCTGTCACATGGTCTACTAGTGATCACTCTTCTGCAGACTTACTGTTACAGTCAAAGCTTTTAGTGAAAGAGTTAAGCTTGTTGCCATTAAGAAGTTGCCAAATCTGCAGTGGAGTGAAGGGAAGGATGCCATTAAGGCAAGACCCTGTCCAGCTGAGTTCCCGCTTTGTGAACGGAAAATACCTAAGAGCAGTTCTGGAAAGGAACTGCAAGTGCTTCTGGAAAGGAAGAGCAAACTAAAGCCACAGCGAACGGGAGTCAAGGAGTTAGGGTCCATCCTAGGCGGAGAGCAAACTTGGCAGTATTGTCCACCTGGCACTGGCGTTAGAGTTGTGAAGAATATCGTGGATTCTTCCCCTGCAGATTCAGAGAGCCACTGAGCCTAGACATGGGCAGGGGTATTCCTGCGTGGAGGCCCCAAGAAGCCATGTTGTTTAACTGTGAAAGTAAAGTTAGGGCTACCCTAGAGACAGCAAGATGCTGGAGATGCCAAAGAGTCGTGAGATATCTCGACAAGGGGGGGGGGGCTGCACACAGGGAGCGGCACCAACCCGAAAGAAAGAAACAGGTTTCAGGCAGCAAAGTTGGAAGGGCAGAGCATCTACGTCCTCTGATATCAGACATGCAGCTATAGGATTTAGAGTTTACTCTGCTCTGTTTTGGTCTTGCTTTGATCCAGTATTTGCTCAATATGCCCTCATTTCTTTCTTTCTGGAATGGTAATAGATATTCTGTGACATTGTATTTTGCAAGTGCAAATTTTGCTTTTTGATTTTATAGGGGATTATAATTAAGAGATTGCCTTTAATTTCAGAAGAGACCCTGGACTTTGGTATTTTAAACAGTGTTGTGACTAAAAGACCATGGAGTTTAGAAGTTTGGCTAAATTCATTTTATATTACAGTATGGCTGTACTCACACTG